AAATTCCAAGATGGGGGCAGCCAAAATACTGAATTTGGGGCTTTAAAACAGCAGTCCACAAACCAATGGGTGACGTCAGGGTGGCCTCTTCCATTTTTTATGCAGTCTGTGATCTGTAATACCATTGGCGTTGTCTGCCACTTCCACCATCCACCTCCTGGCAAGGTCTAATGCCTGCATGATAACCCTCTATTGGGGCACTGGGAACGAAAACAGATGTTGAGCACAACATACCCCCATTTTATCCTGTTGAGTTTGTCTAATTAGAAGGCAGCTAATTCTGGGCTTTAAAAACTATTTGCAATATTAATATGTTTCACATTTGTGAAGCAGGATTCTGCCAACATTTGTGATTAGATTGTAAAAATAGTTGGATATCAGTTTTGTAAAATAGGTCCCAGGTTTTAGCAGCCAGCAGTATACATGCTATTCTCCACTGCCATGTGAGGTAATGTGTAGTATGTAGTATATGACGTTCATTGACCCTTTTTTCTCGCCTGCATATGCGCTCAGCCTCAGAGTATCACTGTGTGCCGTCATTTATAATGCACTGCAGTGTGTAGAGAAGGTTCCACACGTGGGAAGAAACACTGACCTATTTCAGAGCTTTCACTGCCATTCTCTTTCTTTTCTGTCCATGTCTCTCTCTCCCTCTGTCTTCCCTCTTTATCTTGATTTCTCTCTCTGTGACTTCTCTGCTGGGAACAGATCTGCAATTCAAAGCAGATTTCTGTTTTAAGGCTCATAGTGGATTGTGTGGCATGCTCTTTCCCTAATCCCTTCCTTTTACTGTTCTTCTCCTCTGGTGTGCTTTGGTGTGTGTGTGTGTGTGTGTGTGTGTGTGTGTGTGTGTTTGTATCTTCTAAAAAGAGTTCAGTAATTAACAGAGATGGGGTGATGCTGGTTCAGGTTTCATAACAGCTGGGCTACAGAGATATAGATATGTGTGTGTGGTGTGTGTGTGTGTGTGTGTGTGTGTGTGTGTGTGTGTGTGTGCGTGTGCTGAGCAGGATGAGGGTGTGTCGGGGTGCGTCTTCATTCATGTGTGACCATGTACTGTACTTCCCCGTGCATCTGCATCCATGCATGGTGTGTGTGTGTGTGTGTGTGTGGTGTGTGTGTGATTGGCACCTCATGCCAGCCTATGCTGGGGTAGTAAATCCCCAGGGGCAGATTAGCTATTTAGTTGGATAGTGTTGGACTGACATACCACCAGATGGTTTATGCATAATGTGTGTGTGTGTGTGTGTGTGTGTGTGTGTAGGGTAGGTGTTTGCAGGTTTTGGGTGAAATCTGACTGCTGCCCCGAGGCCAAAAAGCTGTTGTGTCCCCTCTGTTGTGAAATCAGTCTGTTATTTCACAGCTCCAAAATTAAAGTAAAAAAGGCTGATTTGGATCAATTTTTTGAGCAAAACAGTTTATATGATCATCAGGAAATAGCGTTATCATAGACTTCTTCTAATGTAACTTCACAGTGCTAATATGCTTCATGCTGATTATTGTACAGTAAAGCATTAGTAAATAATCAAAACATTTGTTTTTTTGTATCATTTTAGCTTTTCTAAGGGAGTTTTTGTAATTTTGCTGGACAGCTTTATTAACATAAAACAGAAAAAAAATCTGTAAATCAGCCCAAGTGACATTGAAGGCTAATTTTCATCCTCATGAATAGATGCTAAAAAAAAAAATAAATAAATAAAAGGTAAATGCTAAAACATGAGACCAAACCTCTGTGTAACAGTAGCACAGTAGTAGTAGAGAAAAGTTGTTTTAAGTCAACAAAGGGCTCTTTACAGCAGTGCACAGGACATTGCATGCATATTTATGCATTCAAAGTATCAGTATAATACATATTATACATATTATCAAGCAAGGTGTCTCTTGATACATATTGTAAAACCTCAATAAAAACTACCTACAACACTTAAAATAATAATAATTATTATTTTATCCCCACTCTATAACACTACACATCACCATGAACTATGATAATTAGAAATTTAAATAAAAAATTTGGAACATTACACAAGTCACTTGATCAACAGGAGGTAGTATCATTTGAGTCCTCTGAAGGCCATGGGAAGACCAAAAGTCACTCCTGTCATTTTTTTTTCCAATGATAGTTTTGCTAAACTACTTGAAGGTGCTTAGTGTTCTCATACTAAAAGCATGTGGCTACATTTCGTGTATTTGCTAATGCTAGACTAAAAACTCAGTTACTCATATGGCCCATGTTCCACTGAGAGACATGATGAAGAAATAAATAAAACAGCCTGAAACTGACCTCTACACATTTTGAATAGTTACAGTAAACACGTGTTATTAGATACAATGCTGGGAAAAAAAAGATAAAAAATGAAGTTTCATTTTAAAGAGGTACATCATACAAATGGCACAGGTTCAACACCGATTAGCCACCATTAGGTACTGATCATACCACACCAAGTGAAGCTGTAGCAGTAAAACCCTATACTGTACTGAGTGAAGGTGCGTTTAATTGCTTATGCATTCAGCTTTTCATTTATAAAAGGAGGACTAATGTTTCCTCTTTCAAAGATTTAATAGTCTTGCTGTAATTAATACAATGAGTTAATTATATTAATGTATTATTTTTGGAACTATACTAATAGAATTATAACCGTTGAGGTAATTGTAACTATATTAAACATTTAAATTAAGGGATACAAGTTCAGTCTTCTTTGTTTATTCATACAGTGGCCTGGTGGTGCCCAGTGCAGTCTCAGCCCTCCTCAATACCTCAGCTGTCCTTTATGTTATGTCATATTCACCGCCCTCATTTTCCCATATTTTCCAGGAGATATGAAATGGCAACCTTATGGTAAACACCCACCCCCACACTCCCACCTGTTTTTTTTTTTTTTTTTTTTCTTTTTTAAAAATTGATCCTGTTGTCATAGCTTTGAGCTGTGGTGTGATTTGAAACAGAGTGAAGCATTGATCCTGGTGGGGGATGGCAGCATGAGGGACAGGGATTAACAGTGGGCAGGTGGTCCTGCCATGGTTGCCAGTACACAGACCTGGCTGTCATGTGGAGGTGGTGGGGAGTAAATGAGAAATCTTTGGCTTGTGGGCTCGCTGCTGAATAATGTGGCAGGAAGAAGGGCTGAAACCACTGAGTTTACAAAAACATGGATGTAATGTCTGTGCTTTCACCAGCCTACAAGCTCCTGCGAGATCAGTCTCAAGCTCCTATTCAGGTTTACCACTCAGTGCCATCATTGTAGCTGAGGCCAGAAAGAGGTATGAGGCAAAAGCCAAAGGAACAACCCAGTTGCCAGAAAAAAAATGTTGGCATTGTACATTTTTGCACGCCACGGATACGTTACATTTCTACATTATTTTGTAGCGGATACATTGAAACTTTACATCTCAACAGTGCTGTTGTTAACATGTGGTTAGGTTTAGGAACAAAAACTACTTGGGTATGGTTAAGAAAGATCATGTTTGGGCTTAAAAAACATAGTTTTGGGGGCACAATCCCTGGTTTTGTTGTGTGTTGGTTTGAACAGTGGTCTGTAGCTTGGCAGGCATGTCACCTAGGTGACATCCCATCCACCATCCTCTCCACCTCCCAAAGACAAAGTCAGCTCATATACTACGTCACTTTAGAAATCTTGATGATTTAATATATCCAGGGTTTGCAGACACCTACAATTCCAATATTTTGTTCTGGCAACGGGGCTGTAAGCTTGGTATGAGTGGGAACACATTCATCTTTGCTCCCATGGTGATGTTTAGTTTTGTAGAATTACATTTTGCCCAAGGCAAAGGAGTTCAATTACTTGGGGTCTTGTTCATCAGTAAGGGTAGAATGGAGCGTGAGATGGATAGGTGGTTTAGCACGCTGTCTGTAGTGATGCGGCTACTGTGGTGAAGAGGGAGCTGAGCAAGAGGGCAATGATTTTGATTGATTGATCCATCTACGTCCCAACCCTCACCTATGGTCATGAGCTTTGGGTAGTAACCAAAAGAATGAGATTGCGGATACAAGTGGCTGAAATAAGTTTCCTCTGTAGGGTGGCTGGGCTCAGCCTTAAAGATAGGATGAGGAGCTCAGACATTCATAGGGACCTCAGAGTAGAACTCCTTCGTGTCGAAAGGGGTCAGTTGATGTAATTTGAGCATCTGACCAGGATGCCTCCTGGGCACCTCCCGTTAGAGCTTCTCAAGGTATGTCTAACTGGCGGGAGGCTCCGGGGCAGACCCAAAACATAATTAAACAACATTAAATATCTTATCTGGCCTGGGAACACCTCGGGGTGCCCCAGGAGGAGCTGGAAAGCATTGCGTGGGAGAATGGCGTCTGGAGTACTTTGCTCAGCCTGCTGCCCCATGACCTGGCCCTGGATACGCAGATGAAAATGGATGGATGGATTTTGCCTTTTAAATTTTGAAATAAAACATATGCTCAAAGAATTTAGCATTTAAGATATATAAATTCAGTTTGGGAATTCACATATATATGAGACCTGTGAGCCAAAATGTCTTGTCATTAAAGTGCCATATATGGTGAGATGATAAGTAGTAATATAATATATTTCCTAGTCCTATAAAGCCCCTAAATACCCCTTTGTAACTTTAAGTTAAAAGATCTTACAATTGTACATTGTAGCAAAGACACTGTGTCATTGGGATCATTCCATCAATCACATCTCAACATTATCAATCATCATTTCTGGGCAGATGATTGGAACATTTTACTGTAAAGCAGCTTGTGATTGAAGCCATATCCCACTTCAAGAATCAGTGCCACAGAGTTCCTCCTTGGCTTTGTTTCTAGGCTGATCTCTCCAGGGAGCCATGAAGGGACTCAGCTGTGAATGTAGGCCAGAGACGACACACAATCTCATGCCAGAATATAAACACAGCTACACACCTACCTACGCACACAGACAGTTCATACTGTAGATATACAGTGTGGTCTACTACACTGTCTTCATCCTAACCATCTGTCACTGTCTCTGGGTCTTTGCTCGTAGGTCCTCGGCGCGGCTGTCAGGAGAACTGCCCTAGCCAGTCAGGAGAGGCGAGGGACGAGGCCGGCCAATCGGAGGGAGAGAGATGTTGGGGCAGGGCAGCCATGTGGCCCTGGCTCTTGTGTCATTACTGTTGCTACTGTGGCATGAAGCAGCACCAATTGAAGTCCCACAAGACCGTAAGTCACTCAGCAATCATCAAATCCACTTTAAGGCAATATGTTACAGCAAATGGTGATACAAATGCTGCACCAAAAACTATGACACAGTTTATTTAGTCGAAGAAGTTGGCTGAGATAGAGGGCTCTGGTTTATGTGTGCTGCTGGGATTGCTGCAGCCCCACTGACTCGCTGTCTGGAAAACAGTACTTTGGACAAGCAAATGGTAATATTAAGGTAGTTATTGTGTTCCATTCAGTGTCAGTGGGGTTGCAGCAATATACAGGTTTCAAGGTATACCATGATATATAAATTGAGTTATCAAACCGTGTGCATTTGTTTATCTACAGTACTGAAAAAAAAAATGCAATTGACTTAGACTCTCCCCTTGTTTTTAGTTATTTTCTAAGGGGAGACTTACACATACTTCCATTTACAAAATGGTTTCAAGTCTCAATTATAGTGTTAAAATGTATTTTTTTTTAACCAACAATAACTCTTCCATTTTCATTCCTTTAAGGGTCATACTGACTGATGATAATATGAATTCTTTAATACTGTGATGTGATGAAACAGAGGTATTTTCTGAGATGGTTATCGTACTGTGAAAATCTTATGCCGTTGCAACCCTAAGAGTCAGATTCTGCCAACCATTTCTAGCTCAGGTTTTTACAAACTCTTTTAACTGCATACTGTTGACATAAGCTGACACAGAACAAGGAGCTGTTTGCAGGTTTGCCTAAAAGTCGTTGCTTCAAGCCCTTTTGTAAAGGGCTGATAATTTTAGAATTTATCACGAGTGAGACACATTTTGTAAATCCATTCATTGTGAGTTCAATGAGTGAATATCATATAAATTGAAAAGTATTGTATTTCATGTCTCCATCTGCTGGTGAGCCATTACAATAAGAGCATACATGCATAACATGATGTTAATTTCACTACAAAGAAGACTTGATGATCACTGAAATTAGGTTGGGAAAAAAAGTGGCTATATCAATATCAGTATCGGTTATCGGCCAAATACGTTGTAATATATTGGTGTATTGGATCAAAGAATCCAACATCGTACCCTACATACTACAGTCCCCTGCTGGACTCAAACAGGGTACATTGGGGGTGCAGGGTTTGTGTTTCAGACTACTAGACCACCAAAATGCTCAGATATAACAACAGCAGCAAATGCTATAAAAATCTGATCTTTATTTAAAATGTTTTTAGAAGGGCTCACGAAAATAGCATTGTGACACTAAACCATACATACTTGGACAAAAATTTGAATTTGCGGAGTTAAGTACGTAAGGAACACAAGTTGGAAGCAACAAAATGATGTAAAAATCTCTAAATAAACACATAAATAATGGTCCCATCCCTAAGTCTTAACACACAATAAGAAGCCAAAATGTGTTGACAGGTTTCAAAATATTTTAGCATTTATTTTGAAAATATGAAACCATAAGAATGTTGCTAGAGCTGTGGCAGTGGGGACATTAACATGTGATTATCATGTGAACAGACTGCATCATATCCCTGGGTAATTGTGTTTCACTGGGTGGCTCCCTCACTACAAATACAAAGATGATGGGTCTGCATTGGTTCCAACATGCACATATAATTATATTATATAGATATGCATCCAATACACACACAGTCATACACATTCTCATACCTGCCATTATGACAAGTATAAAAGCCTGACTGAATCCTGCTGTTAAATAGATTCCTGAGGGGATTGGGAACAAAAGCACAAAGAAGGAAGGGAGGACTCTCTCCTTACTTGCACTACACGCACACACACATACACACGCACGCACGCACGCACGCACGCACACACGCACACACGCACATACACACTAACAAACATACTCCTTTTTCATAGCAAAGATGAATGTTTCACAATGAAAAATGATTTGATACTGAGAGAACACCAAGGACACCTGGCCTATATGTCCCATACACAACTGACACACACACACACAGCAGTCAGCCGTCAGCTGCTCTGCCTTCTATTTCTCAGCCCCCCCATGGCGCTGTCTCTCGCTCTGTTTTTTTTATAAGCCTGACCTTTCAACCCTGGACTTATGATGCTCTATTGATCTGATACAAACACACACACACATATGCACACACCCTGCCCAACTGAGACCATTTGGATAAAACCCCTAAACCCAGTAACCTCTCCTAAATGTATTCCCCACACTGTTTTTGGTGCAAAATGAAAAAAACAAAACAAAAACAGAGTCTCTTAAAATGCGTACGAACAAATCTCTGAATCTGGAGGGATGAGATCTGGAAAACAAGGTCATAAACCAAGCTTAGGCTCGCAACTAATATTTTATTACCTGCAGGTCTCCATCAGAATAAAGTGCTGTTTTTTAAAAAAAAATAAAAATAATAGTTGCTATACCTTAATAAAAACTATATTTACCTTTTGCTTCAGATCTCATCTCTTTGTCCCTGGCTTTAAAGGCATCCATGCTCCAAACTGACTAATGTGCCAAGATCTCCCTCGCAAATTGTTTTAACTTGGTTGGACTAACATTTTCCAAAATACTTCAGTTTAACCATCATCACATAGATGACATTTTATGTTTTAAAGTATCAAACATCACGTTATTATCACATGCAGTTAGGCACCTAAAATAAGTCACATTACACACTTCACTGTCTATTCAGTGCTGTCCTTTATTAGGCTGTTGTTGTCTGTCAGCACACAGCTCACTCACCAGAAGATCTGTGTGCTTACCCTGTGTGCATAAAAAAGATGTTGTAACATCTCATCCACTATCTGCGTCATAAGTCTACAGCCTGGCGCCTTCTCATAAATTTGTCAAATCTCAATAGTGATGGCTAAGCCTCCATAGTGAGGATAGCTATTGATTCCAAATCCAAAAAAGAAAACATCTAGAATAAAATGGAAAACAAAGGAAAATAGAGAATTTAATAGTGATTGGACAGATTTGTTTGCTTTCACCACTAATTCTGCAAAGTTTAAGTACCAAATAATCCCAAAGAGCCAACTGCAGAGTAGTTTCTTTATTGTAAAATATATTAATGACTGCTCATTTAGACCTTTTAGGAATGTTGATAGGCTAATGTAGATTAGATAGGCTGCATTGCCATCGTTATAATGCTCAAAATGTATTGTGGCTCCAGACAGATTTTTTAACATTTTTTTGGCTGGAAAAGGCTTTTGATAGTAAAGGTTGTTGACCCCTGGTTTAGGGTTAGTGGCACAATCCCCGCTGGAAAAACAGCACTGGATCCCTAAAAAACACCCATGTTTGGTGCCTAAAAAGCAGCTAGAAACACAGTGATAACTTGCTAAAAAAAACAAATGGGTTTTCTTGTTTGTTGGTCTTGAACAGTGGTTGACAGCTTCACAGGTGTCTCACTTAGGTTTGATGCCATCCACCATCCCCTCCACCTCCTGATCACAAAGTTAGCTCAATTACTACTCTACTTATGAAAAAGTAAGGTACTCGTGGTTTGCAGAAATGTACAATGTCAGTATTTATTTCTGTCAACTGGGCTGGGAATTTGAATCGGTTTATGGCATTCTATTAGCTCTCCATTATTCAGGCACAGTTGCAAAAACAATGTAAATATGGGTCTTTTAAATGGCTCACTAAGCATGACACTCTTCCCTTGTAGCTTTTTGTCAAAGCCAACTAAGGGATTACATGCTTCACAGTGTGTTGATGGTTTAATTCAGTAGACAGAATGAGAAGTCCCATCCCCCTCTTTTCCTTATGTCTCCTTATCTGCTTCACAGCAAACTGCACTCCTGACCTTTATTGATGAGTGCTTTCCGCACATCCCTACAGGACACACACACACACACACACACACACACACACACACACACACACACACACACACACAAACACTCAATTTTTACATATTAACATCTAAAGTGCATTTGATGAATGTCAGTTCAGTATAAAGGTCTGTGGAGTTACACTGTAGCTGACAGAACACACTCATCATTATTCAATGGATTAAATATGAAAAACATGTAGGCGATAACACACAAAAGCGAATAGCAGCACAGCTCCAAGTGTGGTCACATGCACGCACCGCACACACCTTATATCAGGGCTCGTCTGTCATGCACAAGGTCAAGCTGCTGACACAGGGTCACTTTATCATTGTGTGTGTGTGTGTGTGTGTGTGTGTGTGTGTGTGTGTGTGTGTGTGTGTGTTCCTTTGTCAGTGGGAAAGGAGCTTAAATCAAAAACAGGCTGGCAAGTCCATATTACCACTAAATATCTACACATGCAGGTGTTTTGTACATTAACAGCATTTGCTTAAATAAGATTGATCTCCAGTTGAATAGATTCTTATTAGTGTTGCATTACAGTGTCTCCACATGCACCTGAATTAAGCAACGTTACACACTTCACTGTCAGGTCAGAGCTGTCCTTCATCAGGCTGTTGTTATCAGTCAGCACACAGCTCACTTGACAGAAGAAAATGTTGGCATTGTAAATTTATGCAAACCATTGATAAGTTACATTTGTACATCTCATACGCATCATATTAACATTTTAAAAGTGATGTACTATATGAACCAACTTTGTCATCAGGACGTGTAGGGGATGGTGGATGGCCTGACACCTAAGTGAGATGCCTACCAAGCTGCAAACTACTGTTCAAGTCCAACAAACAACAAAAGTGGTTGTAACCTGTCATTTTTCCCCAGTGGCTTTTTAGCCAGCAAAGTGGATGTTTTTTATAGACTTGTTACTGTGTTTCCCATGGGGATAGTGTCACAGAAAGCAACTGTTTTTTACCAAGACATCGCTGCGTTTCCACCTGGGATAGTGCCATGAAAACTCATTGTCTTTAAGCTCAAACACAATCTTTTCCTAACCATAACAGTGTGGTTTTTGTGCCTAAACCTAACCACATGATAATAGAGTGTTGTTGAAATGTAAAGTTTCATCATATCCACTACAAAATAATGTACAAATGTAATCTGTCTGTAATCTTCTACCAATTGTGTTGCAGCACTTTATTTCAGATTGTCAATTAAAAAGCCAGTCTAATCATATCCAGCATGCATTACAAGATGACTGCACAAACATAAATGAGATTTATACCCTAATCATGCATTTACCAAAGTGGACAAAATGATGCAATATGGAAAAAAGTTTTTTCTGACATTCATTTAATCAACTTATTATAACCCAGTCCACCTCCTCACTTTCCTTTGGCCCTTCAGAAACCAAAACTCATTTGAATCACATACAGAATCTGGCTGCTGAGGAAGAGTGAGTCATGATCCCACTTACTGAGATGAAATGAAATGAAAGTCAGAGGGAAATACAAACTGCCTCCTCGCCAGCAGTAAGCAGCAATCCACCCAGACAAAGCTGAGCTCATCAACAGTAGATCTTTAGTCTCTCTGGTGTCTTTGATTTTGTGAGAGATTTCGTGAGTTGGCCGGGTGAGAAAACATGAATGTGCTGCCTCAAGTTAAAAATAGACTTCTCTGCTTTTATCATAGTGCCCAATACAATAGTGCATGTGTGAAAAATTCTTTTAAATTATAAAAACACCCACATCAGTAGTAAAATAAACTTAATATAGCCCTGTGCCAACTTTAAACATGTGCTAGCCTCCCAAATACAGCCAAGTATGTTAAGCTTTAAAGGCAGTTTCTTCCCTTGTTATTACTCAGTTATTTGCAATTGAAATAAACAGCATGACACTGTGTTAAAGTTTTTGATTTACAGTCTAAAGCATTACATGTGTGTTGTCTTTCTCCTCCGTACTGCTCACCGTTTGCTGATATGGGAACTCCTTACAGGTGAGTCCTCAGTCCTCTGTTTCATTCTATAGATCACAGTTCTCTCTTACATGTTTAGAGCAACTAATTTAGATATTTTATTACATAAACTCTTCATAACATCACTGTAATCTGTAGTATTGGTTCTCAAGTGGTCCGCCCTCAAGGTTCAGATTTCCCCTCAAGCAACAGTTCACAGTCCACGCATACAGGCCAGTGGATCCAATCAGTACTTCCCATTGTGCTATACCTCTTTAATTTGATTCCACAAAATGAAACTAAAACAACTAAATCAGATTACTGAAACAATGCTATATTTTTATTTTATTGTGTTTCTGTGTTGTCCGTATGTCTGTACATTCCATTCTTGTGAACGCAATATCTCAAGAATGCCTTTAAGGAATTTCTTCAAATTTGGCACAAACATATACTTGGATTCAATGATAAACTGATCAATGTCACCTCATCTTTCTTATTCTTGTGAACGTGATACCTCAAGAACACTGTGAGGGAATATCTTCAAATGTGACACAAATGTCCCTTTGGACTAAAGAATAAACTGATCAGAATTTGGTGGTCAAAGGTCAAAAGTCAAGGTCACTGTGACCTCACAAAATGTGATATTGGCCATAACTCAAGAATTAATTATGACAAAACTTCCCACAAATGTCTAATTGGTTGTAATGATGATTTTGTATGTAAAAGGTCAAAGGTTAACTTCACCGTGACATCTTAATATTCAGCATAAAGCACTTTTTCTGGCCATTACTTAGTGTCATATGTCAGGGAACAGAAGGTGAGACATTTGGTCAGACACCGAGTTGGTGACACTAATCTTAGGTGTTCACCTTGAGTCTGAGCTAATTGTATAGATCTTCTGTGTGTGAAGCATCCATGTTTTCACAGACATGGACGTAAATGATAAGAGAAACGTAACTGGTGTGCAGAGGCATACAACCGTTGGGCAGTAATTTAGTTTGACCATATCACAAGAGAAGGTTTAATTAAAGGAACGCCATACAGCTGCAGTGCTGCAAATAATTAAGAAAGACAAACCCAGACCAGCACTTTGCTGCAAAATACTTTTTATTTCCCATTTTGTCTTCAGTGTAAGTAAAACAGTTGATTATGTTCTATGGTGTTCTGTGGTGTTCACCTGTATTGTAAAGTCATAGGCAGTACCACCACTACCCTCCAGGAAGACAAAAATGCTATTTAAAAATAGAAGCACTGCTCTGGAAAATTAATAATATTTTAAAGAAAAAACGTTCTTTAACTAAACTGAACCACCTAATGCACGGTACCAGTTGGGAACCACTGAGCTGAACATAACATGATACTATAAATGTTTATATGTCTCTAATATGATTAACAATCACATTACAATTTGTCCATGCTTCTTTTTGTCTCTCTTTGGCTTTACATTGGACTAACAGCAAAGATCCTGCAAGACTGTAAGTGTTTCTTTTTTAATATGTCACTGCTAATGTTTCTATCCCTCCTAGTCATTTTATAGCTATTAGCTTGCAGCTTGCAATGCTGCAGTGGCATTGCAAGCTGCAAGCAATTTGACTGTGAAAAGACCGAACATTACACACTCAACAACTGCTATTTACAGGTTCTTTCTACGCTTGCTCCATAGAGGTGAAACACACTGATAGAGTAGATTTCAGAAAAGATTCTGCTGATGACCAGTTGAACCCTGTGGGACACACTTGCTGACCAGTTAGATTAAGAGATCTGTGATTTAAAAAAAAAAAAAAAAAAAAAAAGGTATAATAAAATAGATCATTGGTTTTAAGAAGCAGTATGTGCATATGAATTACACCGAGGAATAACAGCATCACATAGCAATACAGCATCGATAGTTCAAAGTTAGTTTGTAGAATGTGAGTCTCGGAGCATGTGGAATAAGCTGATACGTCTAGGAGTAATTTCCATAGCAATTATCTCTCATAGCTTGGCTTTTATCACAAGCAAGCATACTATTAAATACTCTTATGGTTGCCATAGCAACATGAGGGATATGTATAATACAGTCCTTTCTCAGTTGTGGATGAGATTAGCTGGAATAGCTTCAATTACAGAGTGAAACTGTTCTCTCGTCTCCGTCCTCTGTGTTTGACAGGAATTCATTCTCAGTGCAGTCATAGAGCTTTCTTTTACAGCATCAAGCTCCTCCTTTAATCTAGCAGGCGGCTGGCCCTCTGAAGTGCTTGTTATCTTGTATTGTGTGTACAGTATGTGTGAGTGTGTGTGTGCACTTGTGTACAGTGTTCGATGCACAGCCCCTGCAGGGCTCAGTGAGCTGGAAATGCAAAAGGGCAGAGAAATGTTGGCTGTGTGGTGTGTCTGTGCTGCTGAGGGGTTTGATGAGCCATTAAATATGCATAATAGACTGAACACAGCTGGGGAGGTAGAAACTATGATCTATTTATTTCTTGTATCAGAATATAGAACAAGCTTGAACTGATCTATAAAAAATGAATAAAGAAAAAAAGATGAATCATTGGAAATGTAAATGGAAAAAATTGAAAAGTGCAGGATGTCCTCATAAACTGTTTGTACGTTTTCCTAGGAAAAGTAATGCATCAAAATTTGTACATATCCCACAAAATAATCAGCCAGTAATTCATGCATAAGCCACGTATGTTGGAGGGTAGCAATCACATGACCAATATGCTGATGGGACTTATGGAGGAAATGGTCTCAACTGGTCCACTAAGGACATTGGTTGGGATGGTGGATGGGTCACAGAGCACAGGACCTTCCCCCATGAGACCAGTGTATGGAACTGTGTGAACTCTGAGTCATGTTTCTTTTCCCAAGACTAACCACAATAACTTTACGTGCTTAAACCTAATCTATGTAATTTAGCGTTAATTTCGGAACTTTTTTTGGATGTACAGACAGTAGTGGGGCTCTGACTCTGGGAACAACCAGTAACCCAGAACCAGGCGAACGTGGAGGTCTGCGAGTTGTATAATTCTAGGTCAGGAGATCTTGGACCTAAACCATTCAGCGATTTACAGACAAGCAATAGAATTTTGTAGTTGATTCTGTCAGAAACTGGTAGCCAGTGTAGTGATCTGAGAACTGGAGCTATATGCTGAGCCTTTGAGGTCCTTGTTACAGCGACATTCTGGATCAGCTGGAGCTGTCTGTCTGAAAGCTTCATGTAAATTGGTATATTTAGTAAATGAAAACCCATGTTGTCTAGAGTGCACTCAAATGGAAGTAAAGCAGCACTGTGTGTGTGTGTGTGTGCATTATGTGTGAACAGCTATAGTCCTGTAACCTTCTATCTGTGTCTCCCCTCCTCCCACAGTAAAGCAGCCCCCAACTATAGTCAAACAGTCAGTGAAGGACTACATTGTTGACCCCAGAGATAACATCATCATCGAGTGTGAGGCCAAGGGCAACCCAGTGCCAACGTAAGCAGTACACACACACACACACATGCACACAGCCTCACAACACACTCACTTATCTGTCCTCTGCTCATTACTTAGAGTTTTAAGGAATTGATCCAATTGCAGGGACACAAGCAGATGATATGTTTAAGGTGGCTACACAGCATATTTTATTATTAGCTTTATATTTCTATTTTAGAATAATCATATCACTTAGGCTACTAGCAAGGCTGCGTAATCTGATCATAAAATAAGCATTTTATTTCATATTTTACATGGAGGTTTTTGTCTTCACCCTATTACAGTGGATGAGGTTTAATTTGTGGTGCCTACTGATATCAAAGATTATATTTAAAATATTCAACAGCAACAGCTCTTTTCCAAAACAGTGTCCCTATAATTGCTCCTGATAAGTAAACCGAGGCAGTAGTTATAATAAATACTATTGTAAAGTGTTAGTATGTCATAAAGAAGCCATAGTGTATCACGAGAAATGTCATAAAACAATGGAGGAATATGTCAGTCAGTGTGTGCATTTTTCCTGTAATCCCCTCAATCATGTGTAGGCTCCAAGCATCCACCTCCAAGGCTAAAACATGAAGCCAGTGCATTAGTGCCAAAAACTGCAGTTCCTCCAATGGCCACTTGAGGCTGGTTCCAAAACAGTCAGACCCCGTAGACCCTGATGTTATAATGCCTAACTTCACAGCAGAAATAAACATACACAGCTTGGTACAAAAAACAGTTTGGTCTCTGTAGCTAATTTCAGTATTCATGTCAGCTGTGTGGGGGGTGAGTTTTATTTATACTCACTCATTAAGGCTGAAAGTTACACATATTTAAAGATGGGGCTGCTTGAGTGACAGGTTATCTGCGAGGCATTGCTGTGGGGCGCTCCTTCACAGCTCCACCCTCTTGTCCAAATATGGTCACTTGTGGCTTCAAGAAAAAAACAAGATGGCAATGGCTGAAATGCAGAACTCAAGGCTTCAAAACGGCAATCCACAAACCAATGGGTGATGTCAGGGTAGCAACCTATATCTATGGCTGGCTCCCTAAAATAGTTCTCAGTCATCAAAACTTTAAGAAACCCTGATCTAAGATTTTTGTTTCAAAAGCTCCAAAATGGTCAGTTTAGCTTTAAAGTTTCTAAAACATTGCCCTGTGGGGAATTCCCCCCACACCCCCCTGGACGGTCACAGATGGTGAAGGTGATCACGGCCCTGCAGCAAACTGTGAAATCAGTGGGGCACGCCTTTGATGGAAATTAAATTAGGATAGAGCAACTGAAGTTTATTGATGTAGGATAGTGTGCCACTTCATAAGAAAGTTTGAAAAACCTTGCAGGTAACTCAGCTGAAAAACTCACAGTGTGATTAGTGTCGACTTGACAAACTGACAGGCTGCAGACTGTGTGCACCGATCAGACGCAGCTGCAGAGTAATCAGGAAAATGCAGCACAGCTGAGGACAGATCAGTCCAGGAAAGATCCATGTGATGCTGATTCCTCCTCTTCTTTTCCTTCCCACTGTCTATCTATTCATGCCATTTACTCAGGCTTACTGTCTCTCTCTGTCTTCTCTCTCCATTCTCTCCTTTGCTGCTGTTTGTCACCCTGGTCTGTCTGTCCTTGGTGTCTCCTTGCCTTCCTGTCTCTCTCTGTCCATCCATCCATGCCTCTCTCTGCCAGTGATAGTTATGCAGAGTGACAGTGCCACTCAGATCTGCTGTTCTGCCACTCTGTCTGTCTCTCTCACACACGCACAATTATACAATTTCACCTTAGCCAAATCTTTCTTTTTCAGTGACCCTCTTCTCCTTCTGCTGAATTGTGTCTTACCCTGAAGCTCCTTTCATGCCCTCTAACAACTCTATATACTCAGTGTGACACCTGTCTGCCTGCTCTCTACAGCATTAACCTGACAAGTGGTCTGTTGTGCTTTTTGCTCTCTCTTTCTGTCTCTGCGACCCCCCCACACTGTCCTTCCATGACCTCCACTCCACTCACTGTGTCAGGCTGTCTGCTCCTGCTGCTGTAAACCCAACAAAAAGACAAACCCGGGGCGTCAGTGGCTTAGTGGTAGAGCAGGCGCCCCATGTACAAGGCTGTTGCCGCAGTGGTCCAGGTTCAACTCCAGCCTGTGGCCCTTTGCTGCATGTCACTCCCTCTCTCTCTCCCCCTTTCACACTCATCTGTCCTATTGATTAAAGGCTTAAAAATGCCTGAAAAAATATCTTAAAAAAAAAAAAGAAAACTCAAACCCAACTCTTACCTAAGAACAAATCCCAAATAAGAAACCTGGTGGTTGATTAATGAAGCTGATGTTGGTGAACAGGTAACAATTTCATGTTTAGATGGTTATTAAAAGGTGTTTTTCATCTGATTGCAAGCAAGACATGATGGATGATGGATTGCAAGTTTACTCATTTACATCTATATAAATTTTTCTTTATCCTCCCAAAGCCAGTTGGAGGAAGGGGTGACTGTAGACAGGGATCAATAGAGAGCATAAATAAGCTGGATTAGTCTACGTCCCTTTTGGATCTCTCTCTCTCTCTCTCATTGTTCTCATTCACAAATTTTTTTTCCCTCTCTCCTCTTCCTTATTTCCTCTGTTGTTCTCCACAGCCACCCCCCCCCCACACACACACACACACATACACACACACACAAAGGTACAGTTAAAAACTTGCTGTAATATACACCAAATCACGTACATGCATACATCGACATATACATATACATAATTCATACTCAGAATCAGATTTATACGTCACACACACACACACACACACACACACACACACACACACACTCACTCACTTAGTCTTCAGTGGTTACATCACTGGGGGTATGACCAGCTCAGGACAGTGGTGCATTGTTTATTTGGAGACCAATTGGCTTTACGTAAGACACACAAACACACACACACACACTTGCATACTCACACGGATTCTTGTGTACACATACACATTTACACAACCTCACAATAAGGCACTCACGGCCACTCTTCCATGCATACATACTGGCTCTCCCCTTCCCAGGACAGGCATTGTGCTCCAATAATGCACTCAGTTGACTATTCATGCTCATGAAACATTCAGCGTAAGGGATCGTTCACTTATTCACTCACAGTCAGTCTCTCACAACGCAACACATGCCACAATACACACACACACACACACACACACACACACACACACAGCTCTGGTCTCCAGAGCTTCAATAGTGGCCCATTGTTCGGGCTCAGTGCTGTGCTGCACCTCAAACAGGCCCAGGCTTAACTGTATCTCTCCTAAAAATGACAGGAAGCATCTTTTGCAAATCCCCGCTCATCACTAAAAATAGTGGTGCGTTATGTAAGCATATTGAGTGTTCTTCACTAATCAGGGAGCCCTCTGGAAACACCACATGGAGCAGGATTAAGCTACATCACTATTACAAGCACATGGAGAGCGTGTGGTGTGGTGGATTTCTGTGCGGCTGTCATGCGGCAGTTGAGTAATGTAAGATGGCAACCACATGGCAGGCGAAGGACTTTCACATTTTCTGGTTGTTGAAACAATTAAAAGTCCATGTTAACGTGGTGATAGCCCAGTGGCAATGCCTCAGGCCTAGATAACCTTACATCTTTCCCCTGCCTGATTTTTTTTCCTCTTGGCCAAGTGTGCTATCAAGTCCTATCATGGCATACACACCACCACAGCACACACCACCCTGCTCTTCTGGTGACACGAACCAAATCTTAATCTTTAACAAAAAGAAGTAGCTTGATGTTGTCAGACACTTATATAACAATCTGAGTCTGTCAGTGTCAAAAACAAGCATTTTAAGTGGACATAAATTGATGTTTGGAACATGCCTCGAGTGGTTACATTGCAGCCTGTTTCACAGCTGCCGGCTGCAGCAGTCTCACTCAATTCTGGATTAATTTCAGAAATTGTTGTTCCCATTAGTTACTCAAACACAATAACATGGAAAAATAGGGTCCAGGTTGGAAAAAACAAAGTTACCCTTTAACTGTGATTAAAAAAGTGGTGACATTGAAGTGACAGAAAATACTTAGTGATTAAACTGTAGAGAGAAGCTCAGAGCAGGGGTGGTTATGGCAGTTCCCTTCAAACTTAACCTTTGTTTTTTTGGCTATTTATGTGTTAAGTTGGCCCATTGGTTGTAATGCATTGAAGGTATGGCTAGTTTCCACACTGTCAACTTTTAAGGTCTGTCTCTTATAAATGTCCTGTGAAAGAAAGGCAATTAAAGTTTGCCGCAACCAGAAAGGTTGTTTTAACCTCCTAATAAATATCACATAAAGGGACATCAGCAGAGTGAAGTTCATTTTCCAGGGATCAACAATGGTAAAATGCTAACTCTTTGATTGGTTCTCTTCTGGCTCAGGTTCTCATGGCGAAGGAACGGGAAGTTTTTCAACATTGGAAAAGATCCCAGGGTGACGATGCGTAAACGCTCGGGAACTCTGGAGATCGGTTTTCGTAGCGGAGGACGACCAGAAGACTATGAGGGAGAGTACCAGTGTTTTGCCACCAATGACTTTGGAGTGGCTCTGTCCAACAAAATCCTGCTCCGGGTCTCAAGTAAGAATACACCAGAACAGACACATTATGACACAAATTCCAAAGAAATCTGTTTCAATCAAAACATTGTGGTATCTTATATCAGAATGACTCATGAAGTTCTCATGAATGTCCATTGCAGTTTGACTGTGCTTGCTTCAAAATATCTTCTGACCACAACTGCAACCAGCAGAAATGCCCTACAACACAGAGAAGAACAGTAGCAGTGGGACACTTTGTCTGAGGGACAAAATTTTGTTATCCCTGCCTGACCCTTGTTTGACTGGAATTCTTGTCATATATCATTTCTCACATCTCTGTCTCTCTGTCCTCCCTCCCCTTCCCTCCCCCTTCTACTTCCATCCCCTGTCCTCATCATTCAGAGGCTCCTCTGTGGCCTAAAGAAGTGCTGGAGCCAGTGGTGGTGACTGAAGGCTCCTCGCTGGTTCTACCCTGCAACCCCCCACCGGGCCTGCCTCCTCCGTTCACATTTTGGATGAACAGTGGTGAGCAACAATTACACACAAATATACACACAGAAGAAGACTGAGTATATTTCTCTTTTTTTTATATGTTGTATGTATCATCTTTGTGTCCGGATGGTTTTCTCTACTGCCATTACTGTATCAGCCAGTAAAAATGACACTTTCACCCATTATCGGATGCAGTTTTATCATCGTAAGGTAGAAAGTGACATGCAGGAAAGGTTTTTATAGTGGTGCAGCAGCAGGTGACAAATGTTTGTTTACTGGGTTTTACACCAAGGGGGGAGTAGAGGTGAATAATGACTCCTCCATATTCCATATTCCTCAAGAAAACAGACAATGCATATAACAGGCTGAACTTGATGCGGCATCCAAGAACGTCAACAACCAACACACCCAGGCAACCTTGCACGTCATATCTCCACATGGAAACTCCATGACCAAATGTTAATTTGTGATGAGGTCAGAGTGAGAATGTGTTGGCCAACCATATTACAGTGCAGAGGGAAGCCTGCATCTTCCTTACTGCTAGCTCATCTAGCACCACTAAGCTAGCTAATCTTACTGATAATGTTACTGTGTTGATGCATGCTTCCTTCTGCATTGTGATTTGGTTGTTTGGGTGTAGTTCAATAGAAAGAAAATAGTTCCTTCATGATACTGCTCACAACAAGGTCTGTGGATTATTTTGAGTAACCAGGCCATGATTTCTGGAGACAGATATAAATGCTGAGTTTTTCAAATGTATTTCTTTGGTGCTTTGAGCACTCATCTGCATCATTCTTATGTTTACTGTCATTATGTTTTTTTTTTTTTAAAGAGCTGCCTAGTAACGTCAATAAGCATCCCCACAGAAGAGCAATCTAGATGCTGAGAAGTGCATTTTATTTGTTTTTAGTCCATTTAAATTGTGATAGGCCAGAGGTCTATCAGGTCATCTAGAGGCAGGCTTTATTCCCCTCCTTTCATTGCAGTTTGTCTCAAATGACCTCTGAGTATTTCATTTAGTCTTTTATCCCTCATGCTGTTGTCTCTCGCAGTTTCTCTCTTTCAGCAGTTGGGAGGAGACATTACAGTCTCAGGCCACTCTAGCATCTTATCATCACCTCTCTCCTTTGCACTGTATTGTCCTTCTCCCAAGTGGGTTACACTACAGTACTGCTGACCCAGTGTGTGTGTGTGTATGTATGTGTGTGTGTGTGTGTGTGTGTGTGTGTGAGTAGACCTCATGTCCAGCCAGAAGCCATTTTATCAGCCACAGACACTGTAAAAAGTACTTTTAACAACAGGAACATTGCCTGAATAACTTGAAAATACTATTTATTACCTGAAAACCTTTTAAAGAAGAATTTACATTTACATTAGATTTCGTTCCCAATTAAAAAGATGCAGTTTCCCTATGGAAACTTGATCCACGCCAAATGACTCACACACAGACACTAATATATACACTCAGATACACCACAGTACATCAGTGGGTCATGTAGCCCAGACACTGTAACACGCCTGATTAGGACTGCTGGCCTGGCTGCTGATTGGTCCTGGGGCATTGTCTTGACGAGCATACGGCTCACGTCGGCTGGCGCAGTTTCAGAGTGTGGCTGATGGTCTGTCTGGACGTCTGTGTGGGTGTGCTTCAAGTTAACGTTTGCCTGTAGCGACTGTAGGATGACACATCGGCTAGGTCAGCAGAGCTAACTTGACCAGACGTTGAACTGAATTGTGAGTGAAAATATACACATCCAACAATCTACAAGATAGTGGTCAGCCTTAAAGGCCTCTTTGCTTACATTTAGATAGATCATATTTTTAGCTTTTGATACAAGATGTGAGAGATCAGTTGGTGATGATAGCTTTGATTTCTTGAAAAATAAACCTGCTCTGTTTCAGACAAGAACTCTTTCCCTGCAGAGGATCTGTGGTTGGAATCATAGACTGAGAATCTATAGCTACTTATTCACTTCAGTAAAGTTGTGGGGCATGCACATTTAAAAAAAAAAAAGACTGGTCAACATCAAAGCAGTAGATGCAACAATATCCAGGTTTGTAGATCATAGAATGGATCAATCTCAAAATACACTGGATGCTGCATTTCCATAATGCAACTGATTTTTTCACTGCCTGCTTGATCAAAACCCACCTCTATCAAACTCCATGAACGTAATATGAAATTTGTAGCACAACCCATGGTTGTATGATGAGACCTTGGAAGTGGGATGCCATTCATTTTTACGAGAGTTGCTCAGTGGCACATGATGCCAAAAAAGCTCATTGGGTCCATAGAGCAGGCGCACTAGAGACTTCCGCTGGCCAAGTCGGCTACTTCTGGTTTAGCTCTCTGCCAACTTGAATAGGGATAAAGTGATTTAAACTTGCTGCTCTTCTACACTTTTCAAATGTTATCGGACCAAATAGATTAAAGTGCTGATAGTGAAACAAGTCATTTTGCAAGGGTTGTGACACTTAGTATAATGTATCCACTGATTTACAGACATCCCTTTCCCAAAGTAATTGTGTGGGAAAAATTCTTTCTGGGCCCTATGGCATCAGATGACAGACTTGGGAGTTGTTTCCCCACGCTTTGGCTACTAGGAAAATTGGCTTGAAAGCCTAGCTCGCTTCCTGGGGGTGTGGTATAACCCCATAAATTCTGCACATAAAAGTAAAATAGGAAGTAGTAAATTAAATTACATGGCATATGCAAAACATAATTATCCAAATATAATCACAAACTTACAAATTATTATCCAAAATGTATAGAGCATAACTCAACAGTATAGAAAATAGCCATTGTACTACATGTTTTACATAGTCCTCTCCATTAATAGAATAGAATTGAGTAGATTTGATTAGAATTGAAATCTTTAAATCTTTGGAAATTTGTCTTTGGCCCTACACACATATAAACACTTAAAAACTTTCTCTGTCATGGGTTAGGCCCAATCCCAATACACCCCTTGCCCCTACCGCTTCACCCTTATTCATTTTGTGCATTCATGTCTTGGGGTAGGGCATCAAGATTCTTGTTGGGGTAGAGGGGTAGGGTGAGGTATTATGGCTACATGGCCCGCAAAAAAGAGTTTTTTTAGAGGCACACTCCAAAGTGAATGTTAAGAGTGATAATCAGCAAGATGGCTGGACAAGCCACAAAAGAAACCAGCAAATGTGTTTTCTTTGAAAAAAAATTATGATAACCATCATTTTGTCTTAGTTTAACATTGTTTTAAGGCAAGCAGAACAAAAGACATTGCTAGAATGCCGATGTCTCTATAGATAACTAGTTAGCTAACTAACATTACATTGTCATTGCTGACTGGTGCATGACAGTCCTGCATTTTGACATATTGTCAGGTCGCATTCCCCTCTTTGATGGCATATAATGCCCAAATGTAACTGAAGTCCAGCAGCAGTGAAGGTGCTGCACTTTGTACCTCTCCTTTACTATCAGTGCAGACTGGCAGGGTAGGAGCATGGGTTGCTAACGTTAGCCTACAGAGCACTGCTTGTTGCCTGGTAATGAAGCCGATTTCTTTGACCAATTGATAGTGTGAAACTTGCACTGCAATCACAAGCACTCTGACAACCTCAAAAGGCTTCCTGTAGCCAGCGCAAGAAAAATCACCACAGCAGAAGATGCCATATTCACAACATCTAGTAACACTTGTCACATCTATTTACAGAAACACCACGACAATGACAACTAATGACATATCAGGGTCTTGATGGGTTGTCCCATTTCATTGGGGAGGTTTTCACCATAAACCCTTGAAAACGAGGGGTAGGGGTAAAAATGAGAAATGAGATTGGACCTTCAGATATATGAGATACCTCTAACCCCTAACCCTTACAATAATTAGGTAGTAAGTGCACCAAACAGGTGTGATGAAAGTGCTAAATCTTTTAGGAAACAATTAGAGAATTACAGACCCCTAAATAAAGTGATACTGTGACTTCAAAATCACAACTATATTCTTCCCAACAATAATAATGTGTATTTCTTAAAGTCTTATGTCATTACTCGGCCAAGCTTAAGTTTATATTTGAGTTTAACATTCAAACTGCAAATCCACATGTATTTGTTGTTTCTTGTAGGAAATGATTTAGGAAATGAATTGTTAATGGCAACTTCTAGCTATTATTAATGCTGAGCTTTCTATTAGCTACTGTACAGATCAAACTGTTGGTGTGATTTCATTACTCCTCTATCTCCCTCTCCATCCTGCCCTCGCCCTTCTCCGCCCTGTCCTCTGTTCGCCCCGTGTCTTTCAGCTATGACTCCGATCCCTCAGGATAAGAGAGTGTCCATGGGTCTGAACGGAGACCTCTACTTCTCAAATGTTTTGGCCAAAGATGCTCACACTGACTACAGCTGCAATGCTCGCTTCCTTTTCACACACACCATCCAGCAGAAGAACCCCTTCACACTCAAAGTTCTGACCAGTGAGTAGACGACACACACACACACACACACACACACACACACACACACACACACTCTCTCTCTCTCTCTCTCTCTCTCTCTCTCTCTCTCTCTCTCTCTCTCTCTCTCTCTCCCCCTCTGTGTCTGCTATAGGTGTTTTGATCATATACCAATTCAACCGAAATGGAGTATTACATATCTCCATCTAGAGGTGATGGCATGACATGACATATTTTCATCATAACCTTCATTTACATTTTCTCAGGTTGTTGAAGAACAGAGAAGACAATAAAATGTCATCATAATATAACATGAAATCTTTTCCCTCAGATCTGTGAGTGTCGTCAGGTCCTGTAGGTGTGTTGTGTGTGGACTGATGAGCCACTGTGTGTGCCTGTGTTTTCAGAGGAGCCGTATAATGACACATCTTACAATGCCACTGACCCCTATGGTGGTGAGTGACTTCCTATCAGGACAGCTCCGCTTCCTGTCCACCTCCTTAGTCATGTCCTGCAGTAACATGGCTGGCATACTAACCTGCTAGCAAAACAAAGTCATCCACTGACCTCAGACACAAATTTAACCCCCTAACTGCTCTCTATGTGTATTGTAGAAATCACTGTGTGGCCTTGTGTGGAAAAGCAAATGTTTCAGATTGAATCAAAATCTACATGTATTCCATCTACTGGAGTTATTTTTGTCTGGGTCGAAACCGAATTGATTAATTAAAAAAATAATAAAAACAACTATTCCCCTCATTACATCTAACAAAGATCATACAGCCTAGACAAGAAAAGACACTGCCACATTAGATTTAATGAGCAACAATGTTAGAGTGTGCTTGAACTGTTGCTTCTTACATTCTAATTAAGTGTCTTCAGATCACTCTGGGGAGCTTTGGATTAATATAACACATTTGGGAAAGTTGGGCTTACCGAACATAGAGATATTGTTGTTTGTTTGAGACAGTCTCATCATCTAAACATTTTAGCTTAATTGGATCTTGCAGCAGTCGATTTTTTTCCAGATTTAAATCTCAAAAACTAGTGAGGTCTAGCCTGACCTCACCATGCATGGTTTACACTGTTTCATCATACAAGATTCAAGAATTCTATTGTCACTGTGCACTTGCGTCATCCTCAAATGGCGTATTGTCTTAAAGACTTCACACTTTTTTTTTAAACAAAGATCACAATAAGGCATGAAACAAATATGTTGTTGAAAAACAAATATGTTGTTGATTGAAGCTGCTGGTATTTTGTGTTTGTATGTTTAAATCTGACTGTTTCTTGCCCACAAGTGCTTCCTAGAGCAGCAGTTCTTGTCTTTCCTTAACATTAGAATAAACTATGTAAAACCTATTTGACCATCTTGACACACAACAGCTCTCCACTGAAACATAACTGACAACACCAGAAACAATTTAATGGAAAATGCTGCAGCAGTATCCAATTTCTCCTATTCATTTTGAGTAGCGTCAGTCAGCTGTTTATTAAATGTAGAATCAAATCAAATGATATCATATCTAATGTAGATGACTTCCAATAAAAGGCGAGCTGAAATCGCTCTGACCCTAATATGCACTCACACAGTACAAGTAAATATTCATCTAATTTAGTCCATAATCTGTTTATTCCACCTTTCAATCAGTGTTAAATGATCACATGTAATGAATAAACATACAGTAATTATCTTGCAAATGACTCTTAATTCAAGTGTATTGCCCATACAGTATACCATGCACCTTCTCTGAATGAGCCCATAGCTGGAGGGAACACATCAGCCAAAGTGGCAGCATATGTGCCATTGGGTGAACTGGGGGGGCAGTGAAGCCCAGGGGTACACGGGATATGTCCCAAAGGGAGAAGATGCTCGCAGTGACAGACCAGGCTGGCGGCTCTGAGGCCCAGTGGGACTGCATACGCTGACGATGCTCCAGCACGGAGGAGGATTAGGTCACATGATGAATATTCAGTCGGGATTCATGCTGTGGTCATTAATAGTCATATATGTATGGAAATAAGGTTTGCTGCCTCCTATTTCTGCTTTCACACACTTTTCTGTGTGAGTGTGGGGGAGTGATGGGGATTCTAACAGCTGTCGAAATGCTCACACGCGACCACTCAAACACACCCTCATACACACATGCTAGCTACTTTATCGCTAATCTCTTATGAACACACACAGATGCAAAAAAAACCCTGTCTTTTTTGTGGTTGGAAGGGGGTCTGAAAAGCTGCAGTGCATCCTGGGAAGCATGGCCATGTTTGCCACATTTCCAGGGTGCTCACTGCATTGCCGTGGCTCCCACTACGTTGTTTTGACTAATCTTCTTCTGTGTGTTTCCTCCTCTTGTCAGTCTTCGTCTCCTCCCAGTGTCACTAACAATAACAGATACGCTTCTGCTGACCACTGGTGAAGCTAACCGCTAACAGATGCTTTAATCCCATACAGATCTACATCACAAAGGAGGCTAATGCTAATTTAATCCCATACACTTCACAGCAAGCTGTAGCTCTCTGCTGACTGGATTTTATGTCCACAGGGTTAACAGCATTTGTATTGGGATTGGATCAGACTGGGAATGTGCAATCTTGAACTCTAAGTAATCATCAAAGAGTCAGACAAATTATGATATTTAAAGAAGCAGCATTTATTTTGAAATTGGTTTAGTCAGTGGTGAAGTTGCAAGCAATTATCAGTAAATTATCATTACCATTGTTGCATACAATCGGATATAGTGCAAGGTCAGCCCAAACCTTTAGGAGCACTTAGCAGTCAAACCACACCTCTCACAAATTTGTCCAAATTCATTCAAACCTTTATTTAAGACTCGGGAAATCAATTGAGGGAGACCCTCATTTTCAATGATGCCAAGCATGAACAAAGGCATTAAAACAATTAATAAGAAAACAAAGAACAATTATGCATATCAATTTAAACAAAAATGAAATCATACAAAACAACAATAGTAATAAATGGGCTAAAAAAGTAGAAATACAGGGTGATAAACATGCTGAGGTGTAGATATATAGTTAAAAACATTGACACTTAATTAAAACAAGATCCGAAATAAGGCACTTAAACAGCCATCAGGGTGGCAGAGTGTCTAAGTTTAAGGTCTTTTGTAGATTATTCCATGTGTAAGGTGCACTGTAAGAGAGTGACATTCTTCCTAGTTCAGTTCTGACTCAGGGAGTGTGAAGCAACAACCTATTCTGTGAACGAGTACCATGATTATATGAGAACAGAGTTAAGAGTGATGAAATGTAGTGTGGAAGTGTCTGTATCAAAGCTTTATAAATGAACAAATACCAATGCTGTTCCCGCCTCGCAGCCAAATGTGGCCAACCAACCTTTCAGTAAAGGTGGCAGTGATGGGTGCTGTAGGGGTCACCTGTTAAGAATCTTAGGGCTGAGTGCAGACAACGTCCAGTGATTTTAGCAGCTTTTCCATAAAGAACATCCCCGTAATCCAAAACAGACAAAAATATAGATTCTACCATTCTTTTCCTGTGTACAAAAGGAAAACAGCGCTTATTTCTGTACAGAGAGCCCAGTATTGTTTTCAGTGTGGTAGTCAAAATTTCAGTATGGTGCTTAAAGTTAAGATTGTCATCCAGCCAAATACCAGGGTATTTGTACTGTTTACATTTCTCTATGGATGAGCCATATGCAGAATGAATATTGAAAGACTCATTATGAGTAGCCTTGGTGAACAGCATCCATTTGGTCTTGTTTGAGTTAAGTACTAGCTTGTGGTTATGTAATTGAAGTTGAAGCGAATCAAAAGATGGTTGGAAACATTCAATGGTTGATTGAGCAGATGTTGCGAACCAGGGAGGATGCAGATATAGTACTGTGCATGGGCCTAAAACCAGACCTACTGTATAGGGAGTATGTACAGAAAACACAGAGAGATAGGATCTAAGTTGATTATTTACCAGGGGCACCAAAATTATAGCCAGGCAGCGTAATTTGGAAATAGGGAGATAGTTATTTATATCGGTTTTATCACCTCCTTTATGTAAGGGAAGGATGTTGAAGGATGAACGATGTAGGCTGTTTTCCAGTCTGTGGGGATTATTCCAGTTGAAATGGTCGGACTGAATAAATGAGTTATACATTCTGCAATTAGTGGCGCTGAAAGTTTAAGAAAGAAAGCATCTAAACTATCTGCACCGGTTGATTTTGTATTATCAATTGTAAGAAGAGCATTAGTAACTTCCTGAAGACTAAAAGAGGACAAACTGATTTATGGTAGGATGTTAAATCCTTTTGATGAGTGTTGGTCAACAGAAATTATGTGTATTCAACTTCAGAAAGTGCTGCTTTCCTTTTATTTCACACACCTGGAGTCTTGAACACACATGCATATTTTGCCACACAATGTGATTGGGTAGTCATGGCGAGCCTCTCTGTTACATGATCTGGATTTCTGTGTATACCGGCATGAGCGACGTGTGGCTGATGTAACATTGAATCCCGTGAACCATCAGAATCTATGACCCAGCCCCTAAACCCTAACACCATAAAAAAGTTTCTCTTTTATGGCAAGCCCAAATGTAGAGCATTAAAAACACAAGATAGATAACTTAATGTTTGACTTTCTGTGTGTTTCTGTGAAAATACAATAAAGGTGTTTAACTCTTTACTGTACATAAATCAGGGCAAGTCAGTTTACATTCAGCTATGTGCCTGATTAAGATGCTTCATGTGTTTGGGTGTTGTAGTATGCAAACAAAGACAGCACTTAGCAGTTTGCTCACACCCCAGACTGCTTAGCTGAACTGACAGATTAATTTATGCTCAAATGTTTTAATCACAATTTGTGTTCAAAAGTTTGTTCCAACTAACTGAAAGAATACTGATGCTAATCCACCCCTCAGTTACTGCTTAAAAACACCTGTACAATTAGCATAGGTTCCAAATAGGTTTGTATTTTCCCTGCTCCCAGTCATTGTACTGTGTGTGTGGATTATAAAAGGCCTTACAACATAAAAGCCAACTCCAAACAACACCCAGGCTCTGGTCTAAAGGCTCGTGTTTTGGCAACGTTACTGCTGCTCATTGCTTTGGCCAAGCCCTACAGGGAGGTTTAACATTAGGCTGAATAATGTTATCAACAACATGATCTTAAATATACCTCAGTTTTCTGTTAAACTAATCTCATTACAGCAGAAAAACTGCACACATTTTATCAGCTGCTCTATTAAAGCTTTTAATGTCAATCTCAGCCATCTCTGTTCCCTTGGCAAACATAAAGCAAGATCAATGACCCTGTTGTTGTTTCTGCATCTCTTAATGTCTTCCTGTGAGACAAGCCAGAGGGTGTTAAACCCGTTTACAGGCCGCTTTGGCCTCACAACAGACTGCAGGCAGAGCCAAAGCCTGGCAGAGATGGAACACAGCCACAAGGAAATGATCAGAGTAATAGTGTTAGATTTATGTGGCAGCGCATACAAAAGACGATGCTCAGCTCCTTGTAGGAAGTGAGTCATAGTACAAAGATAAACTATGGTGTGTGTTTGTGTGTGTGTATTAACCCCACCTCGCTCTTTTGTCTGCAGGCCGTAAAGTAGCCGAGTCCACGCCGACCTTCCTCTCACCCTCAGGAACTGAGAGCTCCAAAATGGTGCTACGAGACGAACAACTGCTACTGGAGTGTATCGCTGCTGGACTGTGAGCACACGCGCACACACACACACACACCCACACACACACACACACAAAAAGATGAAATTAATTGTAGTGAGTACTGCAGAGGCACTGCAAAACTACATGTCATTTCAAAGGTCATTAATAGGTGTTTTGCTGCTGCTGTTTAAAGACATAGTAAACTAGCAGCTAAAGCTTCTTTAGCTTCCTTAATGTGACGCCTCAGTCAAAATGCAATATGAGGGTGAAAAGCTGTTTAGGGATTTAATATGTTTGCTCTCTTTGTCCTTCCTCTACAGTCCGACGCCCACCATCAAGTGGTTCAAGAAGGGCGGGGACCTGCCAGGGCACAAAGTGAAGTTTGAGAACTACAACAAAACCCTGAAGATTATCAACGTGTCAGAGGAGGATGCTGGGGAGTATTTATGCATGGCCACCAATCATTTAGGTGGCATACGCCACTCCATCTTTGTTGTGGTCAAAGGTGAGGAGGTTGCAGTGGTTGTTTGGTTTTATATAAACTGGTGTCTGTGTTTGAGTCCATCATGCTAACCTGACTGCTTGTGTTCCACAGCGGCTCCTTATTGGCTGGACAAACCTACGAACCTGGTGCTCGCTCCGGACGAGAACGGGCGCCTGGTGTGTCGGGCTAACGGCAACCCCAAACCCAACATCCAGTGGCTGATCAATGGACAGCCTATAGAGAGTACATATGCTTTCTTTCTGTCTTTCTTCCATTCCTATTTCCTTCCTTTCTTCCATCATTTCTTTCTTTTGTTCATTATTTTTCTTCCTTCCTTCCTTCCTTCCTTCCATTTTCTGTGTTTAGGTTGTATTTTTTGATTATATAATATTGTGATTGTGATTATTTTTAATTAATCAATTTAATACATTTTTAAACATTACCACTTTTGATTACAAACTAAAAGAAGACTGAAGGCTACAAATCAGACAACATTTTTTGTAAATGGTTTTATGCAAGGAGCTGCCCTGTGTGAATACAGGGTCTACATGGTAAATGCACCTTTCTAGTCTTCCGATCACTTAAAGTGCTTTTACACTACATGTCATGTTCACCCATTCACACACTGGTTGCTGAAGCTACTATACAGGGTGCCACCTGCTCTTCAGTTAAAAATTCACACACACTTACACATGGATGGTGGATTGTTGGAGCCGGGGATTGAACCACCGATATTCCAATTTTAGTCTTTTTCAAGGATATTTTATTCAGGGTTGTAATATTCATCACTTCCATATTGAGTTTTTTTTAGTAATATTATGATATTTGGGAACAGGCACCTCTACAGGTCAGTAGTTGTCTGGAAATTTCTCTCACTCCAACAGCTTCATCAGAGTCTCTGTCAACTATCATCCTCTGTAAGAACACCTGACAGAACAACATCACCTACTATAGGTGATAATGTTGTCTCATGTAATACATGATCACATCTCTCAAAACACATAGCTGCTCATAAACAGGTGGCATCCATCAGACTGAAACCAGCAAATTACAACAGGCTTGTAAACTCAAAAGAGTTTAAACAATCACATTTGGAACATTCATTCTAACAAGCCCCACAGAAAAAAGAAGGAGAAATTTTTACAAAAGAAAATGAAAATGTTCTTGCATGAGACCCAGTGTCTTTCATATAGGTTGTATGCAGCTCAGATAGAGAGGTCAACCTGGCCTGATTGGCCTGATTTCAGTCAGTGAAAATGACAGTCAGGACCAGGTAGTGTTATGATGTACTCAAGTACTCAAGTTTGTGTTATGGCTTATTATACACTGATTTTAACCACTCAGATCATTCTAGAAGTAGACAATGTCTCGACTTTACATCTGTATCAAATTCATTCTGTCAGGCTTTCTTACCATCTTATTTTTGTCACTGCCCTCTCCTCCACTGATCCCAGTCGCACCCCCCAGCCTGAGCCGGCAGGAGCTTGGTGACACCCTCATCTTCCGCTCGGTGCAGATGGGAAGCAGCGCCGTCTACCAGTGCAATGCTTCTAACCAGCACGGCTACCTGCTGGCCAATGCCTTTGTCAGCGTCCTTGGTGAGACACGGGGGAGGGAGGTTGATTTGAAAATGTATACAGAGCAGTAACGAACACTGACAGTTGCTTCTGTCAGTATAATAATACTCACCTGCAAAATGTTTGTATATCAGTTACACACTGCAAGATGCCTTGAATTCATGAATTAAACGTTTTTCTAGTTTCCTTCAATGGTAAATCCAAAAAAGGCAAACAGTGATTTATCCAGTCGTAAGCTCAGGATTTTCTACACACATGCATTTTCACTAAAGCTTTGTGATTTGAAACACGTGTACCTATGAGTAACACACACTGAGCGTGTCCAGACATGCTACTTGGCTGTGCATGAGACTGTTTGCACTGATGTGATTTAAATCGTAAGGTTTTAGCAAAAATGCATGTGTTTGAGAAGTATTGAGCATACATGGATATATGAGACTTGGATGATACTGCAGGAATTCCATTTAGCTGCTTCAAATTGATTGAATTGATTGATTGATTCAGGTTCAGGTACCTGGTATCATGCATGCTAGCTAACTGTCACACGGGTCCATGTCATTGGTTCAACAGCCCATTGGTTCGACATCCCATTAGTCCGACTGTCTGCGGTGCTGAACGGCTTGCGGCGGGCGTATGGTGCACCGCGACTGGCTTGAGGCGGAGCAGGCTCACGCCTTATGTGTTTGTCACTTTCTTTTTCATTTTAACCCACACCATGATCTTTTCCTGACCCTAACCAAGTGGTTTTTGTGCCTAAACCTAACCAGACCTTAACCACAGGGCTTCATGATGATTTCGGAACGGACTTCGGAACAATGAGTTTAATATGGTCGGAACAATGGGATGTCGAACCAATGGGCTGTTGAACCAATGTTTTGTTCCCCTGTCACACTGGGACACTTGAATAAAACAGAGCCATCATTAATGTTATTAATTACACCTGTGCTTCTCCAAGTCAAAATTTCTGCTCCTAAAACATCAAACCAGATCACTGATTAAACTGTTCAAACCTTTAGTTCTACAAATGTTAAACACTGAAATGCAAGAGCTCTTAAAGTGGTAAAGATCTCATTCACTGTCCCTGTCTTTGTAGACATGCCTCCGAGGATGCTGGGCCCTAAAAACCAGCTGATTAAAGTCATTGAGAACAACCGCACCTTCCTGGAGTGTCCCTTTTTTGGTTCCCCTCTGCCAGATTTGCGCTGGTGAGCATTTGATGTTTATTTGTTCACTCAAATGTAAACATCATCAACTGTGAACCCACATCCACATGTCCTTGAGCATGACACTTAATTCATACATCTATACTGTATTATTTACTCATTCTTATTTTCTTTATCCATGTGTGTAGGTTTAAGAATGGACAGGGCAGTGGGCTGGATGGTGGTCAGTACCGTGTTTACATCAATGGCACCCTAGAGATCAAACGGGCCCGAGCAGAGGATGAGGGCACCTATACCTGTGTGGCCAACAGCATCCTGGGCAAGGCCGAAAGCCAAGTTCGCCTGGAAGTCAAAGGTCAGACATTATATCACTTATATGAGGCATTGTGTTAAGACTCAGCATCCAAACTATAGACTGTATATAAAGATGGGCGATGCATCTCCACTTCCTCCTGCTGTACACCAATGACTCCAAAATATCGCAGATACAGGCGCTGCTGTTTTGTACTGGTCACGTCATTTGAAGCCAGAGAAGATCACAGTAGTGATTGGGGGGGGGGGGCTGCTGTGTTGTTCATCTTTATTCACAGTCTGTGATCCTGAGTCACAGTGAACCTGAAACGAAATTCTAATTCTAATTGCAACTACAAAGAGATGTTGATTACCGCATTCATGTGCAATCCATGATTGCAACAACCAGCACTTGCAAAGATTTATAACCTCCCACTGCATGTCAGAATTGTGTGTGAAGGATGAAAAATGTGAAATATGAAATGATTTCCTTTCCCTGTGCCAAATAGCCTGTGCTGTTGGATTATATTCACATCTCTTGTGCCTTTAATTCTGTTTACTTACAGTTACATTTGTATTCAAACTGCACACACAGCAAAAACATTTCCATTCTAGCATTCATGGTAGAACTCAGTGAAAAGAATTAAAACAGAACTAATCTGCCAAGACAGTGAGATAAGTTTTCAATTTTAACACACTCTTTTTAAAGTCAGCCAGATGAAAGTCTAAGAGTGTGCTCTATCCAACTCTGTTACGTCAGTCATTAGACACACCTTTCACTTCCTGGATGTATCTATATGTGCAAGTTTATGTAGTATGTACGTGTGTGTGTATGTGTTCCTCTTCAACGTCACTCCAATTCAGAGCCGACTCGTATAGTTCGAGCCCCGGAACATCAGTCAGTCATCAGGGGCTCCACGGCTCGCTTCAACTGTAAGGTGAAGTCTGATCCCACTCTGCCCAATACTGTGGCCTGGACCAAAGATGACAAGCCTCTCTACATGGGATGGAGGTAACAGCGCCTGCACTAACTTGAAAATATTCTCTTATGTGTCTATCCTGCATGTGTAAGATCAGAACACCAACGACCATGTACTGTAAGTGTTAAAGAATAAAATACGTCTAATCCATGCAAAGGTATCATTTAACAAGGGTAAATGTTTGAAAAAAGTAAGGGATGATATGTGACATGGTTTATCATTATCACTTTTTAATGGCTGATGTGGAGGCATGAACTGTCCAGTGTGCAGTGTGAAGTCTTTCCCTGGTAACACCTTTGGGTTTACCTAATACCTGGAACCATCATTGAGGCCCCATAGGGTTCTTTTGCTATGGAAGAATTATTCACTACTCAAGTAAATATGACTTAGCAACTGGAGGTATTTGTACTCCACTTAGCTCATAGAACTCTTTGGCCCAGCTATTGAGGACAGCTATTAGCCAGAAAGCTAATGTGATGCTAGCAAGATTCAAAGTCTATTACATTGTGTATGGTTGACAAACATTAAAAATAATCTGACAGTATGTCTAACAACAAGACTAGCCAGCTATCCAGCCAAGTCATTGTCCCCAAATCAGTATCAAGACCTTCCCAAACAAACAATATGCCATGTGTAGTGTTACTATCGGCCACGGCCTGATGTAGCGAGTTGAACAGTGAGTGGGATGTGAGGTGATTGCTTAAGTTCAGAGGGGCAGTGTAGTACCTGCAGAGTGTATTACAGTCTCCATCCTGTGGTGTTCTGATGATAAAGCACTGAAGTACTAACATTACACTCAGTGTTGGCAATGAATTGTAAATAAAGGCTTTGATTGTGTCCCTTAGTCAAATTAGATACAGGCTGATATTATTATGTAGCCAGCACATTAATGTGAAATGGTGAACAGACAATATAGCCTGAACGTCTTAGTAGGTGTTCATTATCAGTTTTTAATGGACACCCTGCAGCCAGTCAGGATCAGGTATTCACTCAGACTGTAGTATAAAGGAATTTAATTTATCAGTCAATGGATGACTGGTCTCTGGTTTGTTTGTGATTAAGGGAATTTATGAGATAAGATCTTTTGCAGCCTGGCTCATGTCACAGTTTTCCCACCCAGGGTCTTTCTTAAGATATGACTAACCTGCTGAAATCTGACTTTCTTTATGGGTTTTTTTTTTTCAATTCTAACATACTGCAGTCATTAAAACACATGCAGGACTGATTAATGTAATTTTGAATCATTGCTTGCTTTTGTATAGTTGCATATTAGGCTTTACTGTATGGCAGGGTAACATGGGTAATGTAAGTCTTTTGGGACATTTGTATATTTATAGTCAACTTTAAAGAAGATTTATGACACAAAATAGAAACATATCTTCTTGTCGTATACATGTCCAGAGGTGTATACTTGAGTCACATGACTCGAGTCGAGTCAGACTCAGATAACAAATGTGATGACTTTAGATTCGACTTGACAAAAATCAAAAAAGACTTGCAACTCAAGTTGGACTTTAACACTGTTAACTCGTGATCTCACTTGGACTTGAGCCTTTTGACTTGAAAAAAACTTAAAACCTTCCCTCAAGCCCAAAGATTAAAAGGTATGTAATTTAAAAAGTGTGCCAGGAATCAGATCATTTACCGAATCTACTAAATAACAATATTCATTTCCCAGCAAGTCAACACTTAATTTCCCAGATGATCTACTTTGTTTGAACCAACCCAACAGCATCAAATCTAAATGCAGGATAAAAGAAGAACTAATGTTACATTACTGAGTACCATTTGGAAAAAATGGCATAAAGGATCATTTCCTTTCCATAAAAAAACTATGTAGTGGTTGATCAAAACAATTGCAGTATGCAAAACATATGGGTTATTCCTCCGTAAAGTAGGTGAATAACTCTTTCATTTAAACATAAAACATACAAAAACGTGTTCCTTTTATATAAGAATAGTCTTACTGAAAATGTCAAATTTGATAAAGTACAGATGTTTTTTTCAAGATGAGATGAGTTAAATACAAGAAGACAGGACAGAAATGTACAAATTTCTGTTATGCTGCTGGTTAATACAACTATATCTTATGAAAGTGCACTGTCAGTACTACTATTTCTCTTTAGATTAGTTTTTGGCCTTTTTGTGTCATTAGATAGGACTGATAGATATGAAAGGGGGAGAGAGAGAGGGCACAACATGCAGTAAAGGCCACATCTCAGACCCGAACCTGGACCACTGTTAAGGACCCAGCCCACTTAGTGCGCACGCTCCACCAGGTGAACCACTGGGATGCTCTACTAGGGGTGGGAATCTCTAGGCACCTCACGATTCGATTCAATTCCGATTCCGAGGGCAACGATTTCAATTATAAAACGATTCTCAATTCTAAAAAGAGCCAATAAGAAAATTTACACTAGATACTGAAAAACATTATTGTAATAAAGCTGGGAATACATATCCAGTGCATACAAACTGTATTACTCACTGTGGTTGAGATGACTACACTCCACCAGTCTCCTCAGGTCCATTCTCTCATCCACAAATCTCAACGGGGCTCTCCTGTCCCTCGACGACCTCCTCGACATTTCTCCTCCTGTATTTACAAAACTATTACTGACTATAACTATCTATGGACTATAAAAACACAAACCATTGCAAAAAAGATGAACGATGGCAAAGCGATGGTGAAAACATGGCAAAAAACACTCAAAAGCTCTCAAAAAACCAAAAAATGCTATTGTTTACAACACTAAATATTATTTACAAAGAAAACGCCACCCAAACTCCACTAAAACTCACCAAAACTCCGCTAAAACACCGCTAAATCACTCCAACTTGCACTCTCCTCGTCAGCTGTCACTCTCCTCCTGCTGTGCTCAATTCCCTCCCCTCCTCCACAGGTAATGACGTCACATAATGTACCGTATATATCACTGGAAAGCTCCGCTTCTCAGCTTTCAGAATCTGTTGGAATTATGTCTATAGCGTGAATGCTCGAGGACTTAAGGTAATTTGAAAAATAAATATAAAAATAAAATTAAAATCGATTATGAGTTTTCCACATCGATACTCGCATCATTCAAGACAGAATCTCGATGCATCTAAAAATCGATTTTTTTCCCCCCACCCCTGTGCCCTACCAATACTTTTTTATGATTAAATTAGTTTTAAGAAATAAATACAAATTTTGAAAAGCATTTTGTTCTTAAAATGGCGTTACATCTGGTGAAGAGCACATAAAGACTCAAAACTCAAAGGTAATGACTTGGGACCATACACAACAGTGCTGGAACTTGCCTGTGTTGACTTGGGATTTGACTTGGAACTTGCAAAGCCTTACTTGTGACTTGCAAAACAATGACTTGGTCCAACCTCTGATACATGGACACAGGTATATATATATGGTAGAGTAAATGTGAAATGAATAAGTAGTGATTGGGGCAGATAAGAAACTGATGTTTAAAGCAAAAGTGTAATCAGTCCATTGTAAAAGATATGGCACACAAAAGGAACGTAACTTGTCTTCAAGAGGAAAGCTAAAACATGTCGAGAAATGAGTCAGTTTTACACTCAAGAGTTATTTGATTTTAGAATTGAATGATTGATTCATTTTAATAGATGTCAGCTTCAAAAGTGTAAACATGGAATTTTGCTGATCCTTTGTCTGTTTGTCTCCCAGGCTGAGGAAAGACGAGGAGTCGCTAACCATCCCCAATGTGAATGAGGGCGATGAGGGCTCATACACCTGCACTGTTAAATCTGAGATAGACGAGGACTCAGCCTCAGCCCGCCTCACTGTGTTAGGTACACTCATACACAGCAGTGCTGGAAATAATGACATATTAAGAACTGAATGTGTAAAAATAAAAGTTACTGTATTCCCATTGGAATGTACCAGCACTTAAGAATTTACATGTCTTTCCCTCTTTGACGCACACACACACACAAACACACACACACACAGACACAGATTTTATTTTTGTTGTTGGTGTTTTATATTTTCTCTTTTAGCTCCTCTTTAGATATTTACTGTAAATGTCTTCAGTTTTTCTTGACCCTGTACTATTTTTCAGCTCTTCAAATGGAAATCATGCACGTTGTATTGTTGCTGCAGTTTACTAAAATACTGACCTAACTTAGCTTTAACTTTACTTACTCCCACTGATTCAACAGTTTGCATGCAGCGTATTGAGACACTGTATAGTGCTGTGTAGGTAGCTCAGTAGTGAAGCTGTAATGTAGACACAGTTTGAACATCCTGTGTGAACATTGTTTTGACATGAGACTTTTCATTAATGACATTGAGTCACAGGAATAAGCCACTGTTGTTTGTTAAGAATAAAATTTGGCCCTCATTTAAATATACAAAATGTAATTTTCAGTCGCCAGGGGTTTTCAGTGAAAACAATTACAAAAAATGGAGCAATGTTGTCATTGTACTTAGTTTCTCTAGGTAAAATTCCTTTCATGTTCATCATTCAGGAAGTCTTTACTGGGAGCTGAATTATCCACAGACATCTCTTCCTCTCCAAAACAAATAGACCTGGTGACTTAAGCTGGTAAAAACACTGCATACAGCAGTTTCGCATTAAAAATCAGTGTATCCCCGCCCTGTTTGGCTCAAAAGGGGCTGGAGCCAAGCTACTGTTCACATTTGCTCAGGGTGTGCCTCTGATAACTTAAGATTTGAACATCTGATGACTAAAACCCTTTGTCTGATTAAACATGCAGTTTAAAACGACCAAGATCTTAAGAGTGTGTTGTAAAAATGTAGCTTAAAACTGGATAAAAAGATAACTTATAACAGCTTCTTGCAGAACACCACAACCCTGATGCATGTGATCAGGGGTTATGACAGCACTGAAAGGCGATAGCAACCTGTGTCCTTTATTAAAATTGCATATTTCTCAGTGTTATAACATAGGTGGAGAATTTTTAGATAATGTAACAACTCAACAAAATAAGCACCATTGGTTCCGTCATTTTTAAACATTTTAATGTGGAAAAGTTCGGGAGATGTTACCGTGTTTTGAAGGCATGTTTATCATTCTCAAAAATTCATCCTGTCTTAAAAAGTAGTGTTTCTGCTAAGCAGTCCATTTCATTTGGGGTCAAGAAACAGGCATAGCCTCAGAAATGTCTCAACATTCTGGCTTACATCTGTGTCTCAAATCTAAATGTCAGTGCAGAGGTCTCAAATGTGATGATGATGATTACACGATTGTCTCAAACTGGATCTTAGTGAAGCTGACTTTTATTAATCCAATGACATGTTAACCACTGTGCTCCCTTGCTGTTGACTGGCTGGTAGACTAACCTGCAAACTCTAACCTTTATACCCACTTCCTGGTCCTTGACCTCGCCCCACAGAGGAAGCCTCCCTCAACCCCTCAGTCTCTAGTGCCTTGCCTCCAGGTAACACACGGCTCGGGTCAAAATCTTTGTTTTCTTTTCTTTCCTGTTCCTGATTTGTATCGAGTTTACTTTGTGTTCTTAATGTTTTGCTTTCTGTCCTCTGTCTCTGTCTAAACTTGTGCCTCTGCAGTGTTTTAATATTGATATGAAACACTGTTCTATTCATCTTGTATGTGCTAAATATTATTTTTTTTCTCCATGATGTGTGTTTGAGAATAGTTAATAATAGATACAGATAGGATTTTGTATGCATGCACCACAATTCGTCCCGTCAAGTCATTTATTCTCATTGTTAGTTTCATAATGTCCAGTTTGGAACCATATTTCCACTCATTCTGAATTATTTGTTGATGTTAAGTAGTTTGTCTGATTTTTCCACATTTTACTGGGCAAAACATTTATGATTTTCTGAAACAAGTAACTCAACAGTGCACTAAGAGGAGATTTAAAGGTGCTTTTCAGTGTAACAAAATCTAGTGGTGTAGCTTAATTTAAAGGCATAGTTGACTCCAAAATCAAAATCTTTCCTCCTACCTGTAGTGTTATTTTTCATCTAGATTGTTTTGGTGTGAGTTGCAGAGTGTCACTTCTGCAACTTTGCAGTTGGCGGGTTTAGTTTGGTAGAAAAAAAATAGCTCCTGCATGAAGCTGCACACAACAAAGTCTGTGAATTATCTCGAGTAACAGGGTCATAATTTCTGGACAGAGACATTGCTGAGTTTTTCGAATGTATTTTTTTTTTTTTGGCACTTTGAGCACCACAAGCTGAGTGCCATCTAGATCCATACTGGAAAGAAGGCAGACATATCTCCAACACTCAGCAACTCACAGCAAAATAATCCAGACTGATAAATGGCCACTACAGGAAAGAGGAAAAATATGAAGTTTTGATTTGGGGATGAACTGTCCTTTTAAGATTAAAGGACTGATTATGGGAATAGATGCGTTGCACAGTATGAGTGACCAAAGTTTTCTCATAGAATGATTCGTATGATTTCCTACGAATTTGCGCCCTACGAATGACATTACGTCCTTAACGTACAGTTATACAATGAACATAAAGTTTTGGAGGTCAGGTTTAGGCAATAAAAGTTACTGTGGTTAGGTTTAGGAAAAGAAACGTGGTGAGGACATACCTTAAAATGACTTCAAAGATTTTTGTCAACCATCCATCACCTCAACCTGCCTTCTTACAAGTGCTTGGGATTGTTTCCTTGTTTACTGCCGTCAGCACATTGGTCACATGATGGCAACCTTTCAAAATACGTAGGAAATGTACGAATTCGGGTGCACTGCTTTTCGTAGGAAAACATACCAAATTTGTGAGAACTGCCCTGAGTGACAGGTGTTTCGCAGCATGCCTGTGGCTGTGTGTATGTGTGTGTGTATTTGTATGTGTTGTTCCCTGTCTAAAGTAAGGTTATTCCCTGTTTCTGTGCAGACCGTCCAGACCCTCCCATGGATCTGGATCTGTCAGACCCTGCAGCCCGCAGTGTTCGCCTCACTTGGATCCCTGGAAATGACCACAGGAGCCCAGTCAAAGGTCAGTATACACCTACACACACACACACACACTCCTCCTTTGCCTGCATCCTCACTTTTCCTGGACATCCTGGAAGGGATTGTATAACACTTGCATTATCACATTTCTCTAAATTTGCCTTCACAAGCACAGTCTGAACCTGATTTGTGTATTTGAAAGCTTTGCACCATCTATCTCAGTGTCCTGACAGAGTGTAGCAGTGAAGTGCATCGTCTAGGGAGACTGTGTGAGTAAAGAAGAGCTAAAGAGGTGATGTGTTAGAGTTTGTCTCAGGTCGCCAAGCTCAGGAGAGAAATGGTAATGAAAGGATGTTGAAATAGAAACACTCATTACTGAAGAAATGAGGTACATTTTGATAGGCCACAATTATAATCCATCTGTCTGAGGGCCTATTACTTATAAAATGATAATTATAATCTGTATTAATAGGAAGATTTGTAAAATTAATGTAACAGGCTCATTAAACTTGGGCGGATATGAAGTAATGAAATGACAAAATAATACATGAAGCCACAACTGCAGGAGATCCTAGAGAACCTACTGAACCCTATCATGGATCTCTAGATGTCTATAAATCTCCACTGCTGTAACAGGAAGTGGTCTGCTGTGTGTCTCTGCAGAATTCCTGGTCCAGTTCGAGGAGGATCGCTGGGAGCCCGGCAGGTGGCAGGACCTGGCCTCTTACCCCGGAGATCTCAACTCTGTCATTCTGCAGCTTGCCCCCTTCGTCAACTACCAGTTCAGGGTCATCGCCATCAACTCAGTGGGCCCGAGTCAGCCCAGCCGCCCCTCGCCACGATACAAGACAAGCGGAGCTGGTGAGGAGAACTACACACTCATCTAAAAATCACATGTATTTGAAGACACGTGTAACTTCTTAGTTGGCTCATTGTAGTTTAGGTGTCTTGAAATCAACGTACCTTCTTGCGCTTTACATGAAAATTATGATTTGTTTGACTGAGGGCTTCAGGTCATGACAACCTGCCTACATTTGTAAGAATAAATTTGACCTTTGATTTGAAATAGTAGATGTTTCTCCTTGAAATAAATTTGTTTGAGTCTATAGGACAGTGGTTTCAAACTAGGGAGGCACAATAATATCACTATGTCATCGGTATTGGCTGATATTGGCTTGAAAATAAACTACTGGAATCAGCCAACATGCTTTTTCTTATTTTTGCACAATGAATGAATATTACACACATTGAAAAGTGTTCTATTTCATGTCTCCATCTGCTGGTGGGCCATCATGATATAAACATGCATGCATAATACGATGTTAATTCCACTACAGAAGAAACTTGATGATCACTAAAATAAGGTGGGGAAAAAGTGGAGATATCGATATCGATATCGGTAGCGGTTATCGGCCAAATAAGTTGTTATAAATCGGCATATTGGATATCAGAACAAAACAAATACTGTGCATCCCTGACTTTAACCCAAATTACTGAGGGGCAGGTTGTTTTCTCCAAGAAACTCTAAGTGAAGTCACTTAATCATATTACAAACTCTTCTGGGGTGTATGCTGTTATATTTTATGGTTTCATCTTTCTCTACACTATCATTAATTTCAGAGTTTACAACTCTGGTCATGGGCAGCATACAATACTTTTTCGCCTTGTGATGTTAATTAATGATGTATGGTTTCTACTGCTGTCAATTGATCAAAATATTTAATTGTGATTAATCATGATTGCCTATAGTTAACTTGCGATTAATTGCAAATTGCTCTTGTGCCTGCAAGCTGTAGCCACCCGTTTGCTGTTGAAAGTTTGTTGTTTGAAGAGTTGTCCAGGTGACTCTGTTACAAACTATCCAGTGTGGTCTGCCTTTGGTGAGGTGGAGGAAGGCTCTCTGCATCAGCTGTGTGTTTGGCCAGCAGGTGCTATTTGAGGGTAGTAACTCAATTCACATAGCCAGTAAATGCAAATGACTTTGGTCTTGAAGAGAGAACCATCTAGCAGGGCTTTGAAACTGACCTTGCCATTCAAAAGACCCCTTTCTTTATCCATTTTGGCTCACTGAGGTTTGTTTCTACTTGCCATCCACAACGTTACTGCTGCATGGCTTTCTGATTTCCCAATGTATGAGGTGTGCCAAGGGTCATAATTACAGAAGGTATGTATGGTAATCACGCATGAAAAAAAAAAGTGGCATTAAAAGAAATTGTTGTTAAATCATTACTAATGTGTCAACTTTGACAGCCCTAATAGTTTTTATTTTTCTTAGTTTAATATACTTTATATATTATACTGTACGATATATGTTTCAGGTTTCATTTATATTTCATTTATATAGCACTTTCAAATGTCATGGCATTAAGTTGGTTTGCCTCTGGTAGGCTGTCTATTTTGCATTGTAAAGCGGCTATTATTTAAACTTAATCTAAAGAAGTAGAAAGGAGGGGCAGGACTAGATAAGTATGGCTTCTTTCTGTCCCTTCTCGGACATATAATATGGTGTTTTGCAAATGAATGTGTGTTGAATTAGCTGACTGTACAATTAATTTCTATCGTCGTTTGACTTTTTAAGAAGAATTGTCAACTGATATGTTGAACTGTTCGAGATAAATAAACAATTCAATAAAAATGTGCTTCACAATGACAGATATATAAGTATACATGTAAAAGCATAGATGAATAACAAAAAAAAGCAAGACATATAATAGCATAGATAAATAAAGCAAAATTAAAATCAAAACAAGTTCAAACACAATTTAAACCCAGGGAATCAGATAAAAATAGAAAAAAAATCAGCTTAAACACAATTAGAGTGAAAGCCAGGGAATGAAAGTGAGTCTTAAGGTGCATCTTAAAAGCGTCAACAGGCAGGCTGTTTAAGAGCCGCAGAAAAATTTGGACATGTTTCACATATTGGGGTGTCACTGTGTTGCAAGTAATATACTTTTTATTCATTATTTCTCTCATTGTAAGTACTTATTTGTGTCTCTCTCTGTGTTGCTGTGGCAACACCTGGGAATCTTATCTAATGTTAAAATAAACACAGGGAAAAATCAAAATAGGACAAAATAAATGTTGAATTGTTGGCCTAATGAAAGAATAAATTGTAAACCCGCGGGCTGGATGTGCAGTGTGTAGCCAAGGTAAAAGTAATACAAAGTTAAAGACTCTGGGTTTTCAGCTGGTGTTAGACCATCTCTGTACCTTCAGCTGTGGGGTTTGTTGGAGATGATGTTGTTCAATCTAAGTAAATTTTGTTGTGTTAAAAAAAAGCCCCAGATGCCATTCCTAGAGGTTTGCGAGGCTGGGGATCCAAGAAGGACAACATGGAGATCACCTGGGAGGTAAGACATGTTCAAGGCGAAAATAACGACTCATAAGACCCCTGTTGCCTGTTATGCCGCTGTGACAGCTGTGACTGGAGGCAATTGGCTTGTTTGAGATGAGCCAGGCCTGCACAGATTTGATAACCAGCAATCACCACATAATGCATGCCGGTTAGATTTGTGTTCGACTTCATCCCGACTTGCTCTGACATCATGCAAAAGTGGACAATGACATTCTCATGAGATCAAAGCAGCCGCAGTTTTTAGAGCCAGGCGCTGTAGTTGCTCTTTACAGACAAGACCCGGGGCATGACATGACTAATCTTTAATGAAAGCTGTTGTCTGGTATTTCTTTCCTCTGTGTTTGACTAACAGGCTGATGTTTTCAATTTATTAATGTAGTCTGGGGACAAGTCTGCTCTGCAGCAGCAAACTGATATGATGCTGATGTATATGAGAATTCATGTAAAATCAAGGTTGAACCATGAACATATATTACAGGTCATCTGTAAAGCATTTTATGAAGCTACTCTGTTATTAAAACAATTGGAGACTGTGATCAAATTGATATACAGGTTTGACATCCACATCAGATCTAACAGGATGTTAGCGTTTCTGTGACTTCCTGTATGAACTGAAGGCTGCTAGAGATTGTCGGGAAACTGTCCGACTTGACCACGTCTTTTTGTCACCACCTCCTGCTGCTGCCGCCTGATCTCATCCACTTTATGGGCTAGGCACAGTTCATCTCAAACAAGCCTATTATTTTTTGTGTCTGTCCCATTCTTGTGAATGTGGTATCTCAGCAATTTCTTCAAATTTGGCACAAATATCCACGTTTGTGCCAAATTTGAAGAAATTGCTGAGATACCACATTCACAAGACTCAAGGATGAATTGATGAAATTTTAGTGGTAAAAGGTCACTGTGACCTCACAAAACATAAAACATAACATAACTCAAGAATCTATATGCTAATTATGAGATTTTACACATATCTCTAATGGATAAAATGATGAATGATGAGTCCTGGGGCGTCAGTAGCATAGTGGATAGTGCCGGCACCCCATGTATAGAGGTGATGCCTCGCTGCAGCGGTCGCGAGTTCAACTCCGGCTTGCAACCCTTTGCTGCATGTCTCCCCCCACTCTCTCTCTCCCCCATTTCCCACACTATCCTGTCCATTAAAGACAAAACGCAACTGTAACTTGACAGGTTGGTGGAGACAGACAACTGTGAGGTGGTAATACCATGGGTTTTTTTTGTTTGTTTGTTTTCTACAGCCTCTGCTTGATCTGGAGAGAAATGGCCCAAACCTGCACTACAGTGTGTGGTGGAGACGGAAAGATTCGGGAGAGGAGTGGAGAAATGTGACCACGGTGGGGTCCAAACATGTCGTCCATAACACAGAAACTTATGTGCCTTATGAGATAAAAATCCAGGCCAGGAATGAGTTTGGACACGGACCTGAGTCTAATGTGGTGACTGGATACTCTGGAGAGGACGGTAAGTCGATACACACTGGATATCAGTTTGTGAAAGCTAATATCAACATTGATTTTTGAACTAAAGCTGGTAGATATTTTGAGTTGAAGCTTTTAAGCTGACAGAAACTCTCTTTGCCTCTCACAATGTGATCAGTGAATCTTTTCACTTTGACTTTAAGCCATTTGACTGCAAGCAACAACAGCAGCAATGAGGGAATGTTCTTATTCCTGCTTAAGCTGAATTTTTGCGACTGCTCACACATACTGTGTCACTTTTTGTGTGTTCAGAGCCCACTGATGCTCCCACTGACCTGAGGGTGTCAAAGGTTGACAGCACCAAGGTGAACATACACTGGAAGCCTGTGGACCAGAGCTCTGTCCAGGGAGAGTTCAAAGAGTACAGAGTGAGACTGACTGTCTTTTAATGCTAATGAACTAACTACGGAGTTGGTCTAAAAATAGACTATTTCTCAGTCTTTGACAATTTCTCTTGTTTCTCCTCACCCTCCTCCTTACCTTCCAGTTGCACTACTGGCGTGAGTCCAGCCTGGTTCCAGGTCTGGTGGTCAGTAAGGAGAAGAAGACAAAAGGTTTCTACAGTATGGTGGCCGAGCCATCTGGCATCCTCAGCGACCTGGTGCCCTTCTCTAAATACAAGATGTTCATGGTTGTGGCCAACAACCTCTTTGAAGGTCCACCCAGCAACACGATGGAATTCACTACTAAGGAGGGAGGTGAGGCCCACATCTCATGTAGTTTCACAAAAGTGTTCTAACAAGGCTGGAGGTAAATTGAAGATTTTATACCACAGTTTTCCTGGCCAAAATAATTATGATTGATGATATTATGACGATAATCATCAAAATATCTCAAACTCTTAAAATGTCACTTAAACTTACTGGGATGACTTTACCTTCCATTTTGTTAACAAACAAATATTGTTATGACATCACTGATAGGTGATGCATTGCATATGATATACTGGGTTCTACTTGGAACGATAGTGTAAATCTGTATACTAGTGTAAATTTTTTTGAACAGTTTAGGGATATTTCTTATTTCCTATTCATAGTTTCTTTTTTATCATATTTCTATAGCTGTTGTTTTGCTGCCTTGTTTTTAACGTATACCTTTATTGCACTGAATCTGAGAGCTGCTACCTCAATTTCGTTGTACTCGTGCAATGACAATAAAGAGATTCTGATTCTGATTAAACATTCCGACCCTCACCTATGGTCATGAGCTTTGGGTAGTACCCCATAGAATGAGACTGCGGATACAAGTGGCTCAGCCTTAAACAAAGGGTGAGGACCTCAGATGTTCGGAGGGTGCTCAGAGTAAAGCCACTGCTCTGTTGGGCCAAAAAGGCCATTTGAGGTGGTTCAAGCATCTGATCAGGATGTCTCCTTTGCTGGGGAGACAGACACGAACTGGCCCCGGATAAGCAGATGAAAATGGGTGGACGGATGGATAGGAGAGTGGGACGTTCAGTGTGACAGCAGCATTCACGTAATTTAGTAAACAAGCTAAACAAGCACGATATTCACGATTGTATTGGCAATGGAAAATCCCTACAATCAGCTTCCTGTGAGTGTTTTTTTCTATCAGTAATCACCATGACAGTATGACAGGCCAAGAGCCCGTCAGTCAGACTAACGCTTGCTCTCTCTTTAACACATATTTTAAATGAAACTATATAGGAGGCAAGTTAACTTTGTAAGAGATATTCTGACACTGTCTATATGGACACTATGAAGCTAACTTGTGCAGTTTAAGTTTTTTTACCCCCTCTGTCTGTTTTCTAAATCCCTGCTCCTCTTTTGTGTCCACTCTTCACATATTTGTTTGCTTGATTATATGTGTCTATCTGTGTGTTTGTAGTGCCAGATGCTCCGAAGTTTTTCAGGATTAACCGGAGAAGTTTTGACACCATCCACCTTGAATGGGACAAACCTCTGGAGCCCAATGGCATTCTGATTGGATACCACCTCAAGTACCAAACAGGTGAGCTGCTCTGATTTGTCAAACCCCAAATATTCACACATAAGTACACACTTTCAGACAGAAAGCATTTTTACCTTGGTGTTTCCACTTGGTGATGAGTTGCTTAACTGTGTGAACTCTATAAAGTTCAGGATGGTACCAATGGAACCGTTCCTTGCCATCCCCAATTTGGTCACCCCTCTGTTACTTAGCACACTGATCTGGCACTAAAAGGTGGAGCTAGAAACACTGCAGTTCATTGACCGTCCTCCTTGCTCAGGGCTGAGTTGCAGCTGGTTTTGAAGCTCATCTGACCTCTGTTCATACTGTTGCAAGTCTTACATATATTAGTAAACTCTGTTGCTGCCTCTCTTTTTACTTCTAACTTTTAAGGTGGAACGTTTACTTGTAATTTTACTCTACTACTTTAGTGCGTGTGTTGATGACTTGACTGCATCAGTACACTTGAAGTTTCAATATGACAACTTTGACCATTCCATTAGTTTTTATTGTCTTTCTTGGATGACATACACTTTTAATAATGAGTGGATCTTCAAGCATTTAAAAATATGTATTGATTAGGACCGGATTATGGGAACTGTATTCTAATCCAAGCGTCATGGAGCGTCATTCCTGTGGGCTCCGGCAGCACTAAACCCCTGCGCTTGCCTGAGATGGACTAAATGCATGAACCTGCTATTTATAAATATCCCATCGAGAGAGACTCTCACTGCAGCCTGTTCTGTGTGTGTTCTGCAAATGTCAGTGTGCAATCCTGTTCCATGTGCAGTGGAAACGCCAAACAGACCTAGGGTCTGGGTACAATGTCTGAAGGGTTACTTTTGGAACCTAAGGTACTGTACTGAAAGTGTTTGGTGGAAATGGGGCTTAAGTGTTTGTGAGCCTTGGGTATTTGCTTTGTTTTATAGTTTTTATTTGAGTCATATCGACCTTATACCAAACAACTTTCATGCTATTTTACTGTAACAGAAAAATGTCCAATGTCAAAATAAAATCAAAAGAGTTTTACCTCAGTTAATGCACTCTCATGATCTTGATCTTTGGTGAAAGGTCGTCATAAACTCAGTCTTGGCTGTCTTAAGTCAATCTTTTCTCATCTTGATGTTCTGACAAAATCAAACATGTTTAATATTATCGTAAGTGTTAAGTCTTGACTCATGCAAATACTGAAGTTCAATGACGTCAACACTGTAAACAACCGATGGGCGCACTCTCACCAGCGCCAAACTTGAAGCAGCAAACCGGGTAGACAGTAAATGTGGAGGGGACTTTGAGGAGGCAGCAAGTCTTGGTTCTCTTGGACTGTGGAAAAACAGGAGAACCTGGTGGAGTTGTGGAGGGAACAAGAGTTGTTGTTTCATTCGGCATGTATCTGATCCGCCAATCAGCACTTGTTTTAGTGAGAAATCTTTCTTTTTTTGACAGGGGCCACCTCTCATTCCCACCTTCCCCTCCCACTAAAATAATCAGCATGCTGGCAGTGATTTAAGGCCTCTTCATCCAAAATGTAAAGTTTGTATGCAAACACAGTTTATCTTTATGGATTTACTGATGTTGAATGGACAAGAATACTATGGACATATGATGCCTTTTATCTTGTGTTTCTAGAGTTATGTGTTTTTGTGTACACATCAGGAATTGTTGATATATCATATTTCTAAAAGGGATTTTGGCCTAATATTTTTCACCAGGAGCAGGATGGGAAATCATCTCAAAATATTCTAGTTTTAGTCTTGTGACCCTGCAAGATCCCCAGTCTTTGTAAAACCTTATATTGTGTGACGGAAAACTTTCATTGTCTTTAAATGTGAGAGGGTGTTAGACTTCAATCTTACAAAGTCTATTTAAAGTCTTCTAGTTTATGATATACATATATTGTATTCAAAAATGCATAGCTTTACATCAAAGACATAATATGACAGCAAAATGAACGATAAACAATCAGACATACGGTCAATCTAAACCAGGCTACTGTACATATGCACACAGCTGCAGGATGCAAATTAGGTCAAAGTGGAATGAGGAAGTTGCTCTGAAGGATCTGATGGAGTAATAACTGGAAGTTAAGTAAAATGCTGTTGGTCAGCAGCAGTGACTGTGAGGAAGCCCATAGTTAGTGGGCTGGCACTCTGCTGAAGCGTCACACTCCCCCAGTGGTTTGGGAATAATTCTGATAGTAAGCCAACCCATCTGTCATTTTCTGTCATTCTCCTGTGTGTGTGTGTGTGTGTGTGTGTGTGTGTGTAGTCAATGGCTCTAGGATGGGTCGTCCCCAGTCGGAGACTTTCCCTCCTAATGAGACAGAGTTCACCATCCGCCTGCCGGACAGATCTACCCGCTACAAGTTCTACCTGTCAGCACTCACTCAGGTGGGAGCAGGGGAGGTCTTTGCTGAGGAGTCACCACACTTCGCAAATGAAGGTGAGTGTTTCTACAGTTGTTGCCTCCCCTCACAATATAATCTACATTCAGTGCTTCCAAAGAATAGTGCTCTCCTTGAGGGTGAGAATGCATCTGAAACATGTAAGGTTTACAGTGCAGCCAGTTCACCACAGGGTCACTCTATGCCAAATAAGATGGGGGTTTTTGATTACATTACAGATTTTATATTCACATTTCAGATTTTTGTTTACAGACAAACAGATCTAAATAATTCACAGACACAAGCAAATGTCATATATTCTACTACTGGCCCATAGAAAATGGAAAATAGTGCAACATTTGGGTTTCTGGGTCCCAAGGCTGTGACCCAAGCAATATATACATATGGATGTTTCCATGCTTCTGTCTAAAAATGTAGTATTTGGCTAATGTTATACCAAATTTCAATTTCAAAGGCTCTAACATAAATACTAGGTTAGTATGACAAGCCAATGTTGCAATTTGTTGCCTTTTTCAGTTGCCAACATTGTGGACTCATTCCTGGGACCATGAAAATTTGTGTCTGTCCATGCGTGTAGAGTTATAAGTTCCTTCCATGTTGTCTTCATGTTTAAATCTAATAAGATATGAGGCTTACTAAACAAAACTGACTACTAAGATTCAATCAAAATATATTACAAAATGTATTTTTTTTATCTCAAATAGCACATACATGAAGTTTGAACAAAGTCTGAGAGGGTCAGTGTGTAAGATATAGGGGGATTTAGTGACATCTAGAGATGAGGATTTCAACCAGCTGAAACGTCTCCCTATTAGAATTCCTTCAGTGTTCACTGATCAGAGTTTTAACCTGGAGCTGAATTATCCGCAGAGGTCAATAAACAACCCATGTGAATAAAACCAGTAAAAATACTGAATAAAACAGTTAAAAAACCAAACAAATAGGTGTTCTCCTATGCTGTTTGGTAAGCTGCAGATGGCCTGCTTGCCTAGCACCCTCTAATGTTTGCTCACCTATTTTCTCAGATAGATGAGTGTGTTCTCAGGGATGCGCGATAATATCAGCACATCATTGCTGTCGGCCAATATCGGCTTTAAACTGAACTTTCAGAATTGGCCAACATGCTTTTTCTTTTTTTGCACAATTAAAAAAAAAGATACATACAGTACAGGCCAAAAGTTTGGACACACCTTCTCATTCAATGCGTTTTCTTTATTTTCATGACTATTTACATTGTAGATTCTCACTGAAGGCATCAAAACTATGAATGAACACATGTGGAGTTATGTACTTAACAAAAAAAGGTGAAATAACTGAAAACATGTTTTATATTCTAGTTTCTTCAAAATAGCCACCCTTTGCTCTGATTACTGCTTTGCACACTCTTGGCATTCTCTCCATGAGCTTCAAGAGGTAGTCACCTGAAATGGTTTCCACTTCACAGGTGTGCCTTATCAGGGTTAATTAGTGGAATTTCTTGCTTTATCAATGGGGTTGGGACCATCAGTTGTGTTGTGCAGAAGTCAGGTTAATACACAGCCGACAGCCCTATTGGACAACTGTTAAAATTCATATTATGGCAAGAACCAATCAGCTAACTAAAGAAAAACGAGTGGCCATCATTACTTTAAGAAATGAAGGTCAGTCAGTCCGGAAAATTGCAAAAACTTTAAATGTGTCCCCAAGTGGAGTCGCAAAAACCATCAAGCGCTACAACGAAACTGGCACACATGAGGACCGACCCAGGAAAGGAAGACCAAGAGTCACCTCTGCTTCTGAGGATAAGTTCATCCGAGTCACCAGCCTCAGAAATCGCAAGTTAACAGCAGCTCAGATCAGAGACCAGATGAATGCCACACAGAGTTCTAGCAGCAGACCCATCTCTAGAACAACTGTTAAGAGGAGACTGCGCCAATCAGGCCTTCATGGTCAAATAGCTGCTAGGAAACCACTGCTAAGGAGAGGCAACAAGCAGAAGAGATTTGTTTGGGCCAAGAAACACAAGGAATGGACATTAGACCAGTGGAAATCTGTGCTTTGGTCTGATGAGTCCAAATTTGAGATCTTTGGTTCCAACCGCCGTGTCTTTGTGAGACGCAGAAAAGGTGAACGGATGGATTCCACATGCCTGGTTCCCACTGTGAAGCATGGAGGAGGAGGTGTGATGGTGTGGGGGTGTTTTGCTGGTGACACTGTTGGGGATTTATTCAAAATTGAAGGCACACTGAACCAGCATGGCTACCACAGCATCCTGCAGCGACATGCCATCCCATCCGGTTTGCGTTTAGTTGGACGATCATTTATTTTTCAACAGGACAATGACCCCAAACACACCTCCAGGCTGTGTAAGGGCTATTTGACCAAGAAGGAGAGTGATGGAGTGCTGCGGCAGATGACCTGGCCTCCACAGTCACCGGACCTGAACCCAATCGAGATGGTTTGGGGTGAGCTGGACCGCAGAGTGAAGGCAAAGGGGCCAACAAGTGCTAAACACCTCTGGGAACTCCTTCAAGACTGTTGGAAAACCATTTCAGGTGACTACCTCTTGAAGCTCATGGAGAGAATGCCAAGAGTGTGCAAAGCAGTAATCAGAGCAAAGGGTGGCTATTTTGAAGAAACTAGAATATAAAACATGTTTTCAGTTATTTCACCTTTTTTTGTTAAGTACATAACTCCACATGTGTTCATTCATAGTTTTGATGCCTTCAGTGAGAATCTACAATGTAAATAGTCATGAAAATAAAGAAAACGCATTGATTGAGAAGGTGTGTCCAAACTTTTGGCCTGTACTGTACATTGAAAAGCTTTGTATGAGTATGCATGCATAATATGATGTTAATTCCACTACAGAAGAGACTTCCTGACCTAAAATAAGGCAGGGGAAAAAAGTAGTGGATATATCGGTATCAGTATAGGTTATTGGCCATATCAGTTGTTCTATATTGAATATCGACAAAAAAAAAATCCAATATCGTGCATCTCTAGTGCTTACCTTTTTTTCTGATCCACATGTTCAGGAGCTTTTGACCAGGAGCCAAATTATTTGCAGAGGTCTTTTCCACTCCAAAACAAACTGATTAAAAACACTGAAAAATCTGTTTCACGGTTAAAAAATAAATCAGTGCTCTTCTGATGTCCTCATCACAGAAGGGCTGCTAACTATGGTGGCTGACACAAAAACACAAATGGCCCTATCTAGAGCCAGTGTTTGGTTTGTCCATTTTGGGCTACTGCAGAAACAGGGTAATCTCTGTTGATGAGGACCCACCCCCCATGTAGATATAATGGCTCATTGTAAGGTAACGAAAACACAATTATTAATAATAATAATGATAATAATGCATTTTATTAATAGATGCCTTTCAAAGCACTTAAGGACACCTTACAAGACAGTAAAAAAAAAAAAAAAAAAAAGCAAAAAAAGCGAACGACTGAAGGCTCTTGAACCCACAGTGGTCAAGTCACAATGTGAGTTGGAATGCAGAAGAGGATCTAAAAGTAGGAGAGGGTGTGTAGATAGGAAGGAGTTCACAGAGGTAGGAAGGGGCTTAATTATGAAGGGTCTTGAAGGTGAGAAGCAGAATCTTGAAATCGATGCAATATTTAACAGGAATCCAGTGAAGGTGCTGGAGAACAGGAGTGACATTATCTGTGGAGGGGGTTCTAGTAATGATATGGGCAGCTGAATTCTGGACCAATTGGAGATAATGAAGACACTTGTGAGGGAGACCAAAGAGGACAGGATTGCAATAATCAATATGTGATGTAGCCAAAGAGTGAACAAGGATAGTGGCACTGTGATTCTTATTTTCAACTGATTAAAAAACATGCTTATTATATTATACTTCATTTCTACCAATATATGCTCCTAAGCCCTACACATTGGACATTTGAATGTAAACAAAAACCTCTACCTGATTCATGGAATGACCCCTGAGTATTTTTTTCCCCACACAAAAAACACCTGAGCACTTCAGTTGCTCTCACATTTAATAGTTGATTATTATTCATTTGCACTCAACCAAACTGTAAATTATTGCCATTGCCATTTTTTATACTGTATGTGTTTCAGATATTGGTTTTAAAAGATAAGGATGAGGCTATGATCCCTATTTTTCTTTACTGGGGGGTGAATTCCACACAGACATTAGGGAAATCGGAAAATGCTGACAGAAGAATAATATGGAATGACCTTATACTTAAACACATTTCACCACACTTATCAACTTGAAACTTGCCTGAAATATGGCGGAAATAAGTGTTTTTTAAAGTTCAACAGAATAATGTCTGACCCAGTTTATCATAAGAGTTACTGGAATTTTCATTTACTAAGAGGGTGTCTAGCATTGCTTCCCTGTATGGCACTGAACTTCCAGTCTGCTGCACTGTGTGTTTTACTCCGTAATTACACCGTCTCCAGCCTTTCTCTCTGCATGGGAACTAGGTTGGTTCGATATTGTGTCTACATTGTGAGAGTCTGGTTGTGTGAAACACTGGAACCTGTGTGTGTGTGAGAGAGAGAGAGATAGAGACATAGAAATAGAAGCTGAGAGAGCCCTTTAGTGGACACAGGCCTCTTTGTTAGTGTATCAGATGAAGAAAGAGCTGGTCTTTCTCTGATTGATTATATTATCAGCACACACACAAGAGAGGACACACACACACACACACACACATTCACAACAGATCAGAATCCCTGAGTGATTTTCTAGTCACTCAACTGTTGCATACATTCATAATACAGCGATTTGCTGATATTTAACAGTCATGACTAAAGTACACCTGACAGGTTGTTTTAAAGGATTGGTTCACCCAAAACATCCAGGAGTATCTTGCCATTTTTTATTTATTTATGCATTTATTAGACTTCTGTGTCCACCGAATGTAATGGCAGTGTAAGGAAAAAGGACACTCACAGACGTCACTGTGAGCAATTTTCATCAGGACTTTTTCTCCAGTGGAAAGCACAGACAGTTCGACAGAGGCAGATATCTCAAAACCTTAACAGATGGCATGGTATAGCATTAGTGGTAAATGAGAGTATCTTTTGAATGGATCTTCCAGCTGCTGTTGTGCTTGTTGTCCCTCTCTGTCTTTCTTACAACTCTTTCTCCTCTCCATTTCTCTTTTTGTTGGCAGAAAACATTACTGACTCTACAGGTCTAGGTAATGGGGAATGAGAAGCACAGCGTGCCTGTTGCCCACCCCCATCCTCCATATTCGCCTCTCTCAATCTGTTCATCTTAACACTAAGCAGCAGTGCAGTCCACCTTTATTATATTATCCACTAAAGTGCAGTTCTACTGTACCAGCCCCTGCAGCTCACACTGGCAAGCAGAGGGAGTTGCTGAACTAGTTATAACACCCCCCTTGGGAAAACACAGATTTGCCTTCTTGTATTTTACATAATCAGTAAATCATTGTTAAATGAACCTAAAGACATACAGTATGTTTTTTTTAAGATCTGTGTGTGGTATCCCACAGGAAGCTATTCAATGAATAGATATTCAGCATATTCAAGCAGGTTAATAGAGCCTATGATATTAACCCTTCCTAAGTCCCGCGCCTTTTGCTCTGTGCTCCAATAACAATCGAACAAGCTCATTACCCGGCAGAGCCTCAGTCAGCTCTCCCCTTTCCTTTTCAGCATAATTTTATAGAACAGTTTGTATGATGTCCTACAAAATTGCACCCCATGAATGATGTGCTTAGTTTTAGGAAAAAAAAGAGGATGTACCTTAACATGTCTCAAAGTTCACTCAAAGTTCACACGGATCTGAACACGCAACCAGGGCAAAGTCCCGGGCAAAAGTCTGTTTTTTGTGACCCGTCCACCACCCTAACTCACCTCCTTACAGGCGCTTACTGTTTACTGCCATAAGCGCAATATAACGTGATCGTAGCCTTTAAAAATACTTGGATATGTATGACTTTGGCTGCATTGCTTTTCATAGGAAAATTTGTGAGAACAATTTGCCTGTGATCATTTGGCTTTCTATGATTAACTTTGATCAGCTTTAATGTTACTATTATATACCGTTATAACAGTAATTATATTATTTTTGATATTTGAGATTAAAGGCACAATTCATAGTCCAAGTCCTGCTTTCACCATATTAAGTGACAGATCTTCAAACAAGGGTTAATGCCACAATGACCATGATGACAAAAGTTATTCAGGATTTCTGAATTTCTTAATCTTTTGAAAAAAAAAACAAGACTTAATAGAGATTAGTTATATAATTACACAATATACTGTACATTATTATCATATATACAGTTTATATATACATGTGATTATGGCTGAAAGCTCAGTAAAATTCCAGACCTTTATGGTTTGTCAGACTTTACAAGAATGAACTTTTGTGACCATAGAAGATTTGTTTTCATCAGTAACATTGCAAACAGACAAGGTCAAAAATGTCTGCTTTAAAGACGATCAATGTAATCAAGTACGTAAGACTGCAACTAACTTGTCTTATGTATTTGTAGTTGTTCGTTTTGTAACTGCTCATTGTACTGTTTCCAATTTTGATTAGTTTAAATTCGTGAAAAAAATATATGAAACAGACAAAAGGTCTGAAGCTCTAAGTGAGAACAGACCAGATTGTGTTTTTGCTAATGGACTGAACTGCTGTCTACGCTGTATTTTCTTTCTATTCTCATCTGTCCATCTGCCTGTCTGCCTCTCCTCATCACTTCATCCTCCCTCTATGTGTGAAGCTGCTGTTTGTCTGCTGCTGTGTGCTGTCAGGGATTGAAGAAGCCCTCTCCACATGCTCAGGTCATCATTGGTTTACAATACAGTAGTTTCCTCCATGCTTGACATGGTAGTAGATGCAAAATACAGAAAATTTAACATATGAGATATATCATTATTTACACCACATGTCCCACATTCTAAATCTTTGGTATCTCTGATGTTGGAACCAATCCCTGATGGCGCACCTTCACAATGCAATCTCACAGCATCACTGCCTCTTCCTGTCTGCCACGAAACGCAAGTTAGCCTTGTGTAGCAGCAACTAATGTGTTTTGATGCGTTTTTCTGCCATTGCCATTGGATACAATGTCACGATGACGCTACTGTTTTGGGAGTGTGTGTGGAACGGGATGAGTTGCACGTCCTCGCATTAAGATGTTGAGAGGGGGGGAAACATTTTGATGAATGATACGACTTGATGAGCGTGCTGGGGATGACAAACAGAACTCCATCAGCAGTTGGCTCATGCACTCACTCACTGGCTTGATTGTCCTGCTTCTGAGCTTTTTTTTTAAAAGTCATGTCACTCTGCCATCTTTGTACATTGCTTGTGTTCTCCTGGTCAGTTGTACATAGAGTACTGAGGATTAAAGGTAAGGTGGCTTGAAGCTTTGGGCTGAACTGGTGGACCACACCGGGCTGTAATGGCTCCTGAACATGCTGACATTTCCATCATCCTGTCCTACTTTCTCTTTCCTTTGCACGGAGATTTGGGGGCATGCTTGGCATCCAGCCTGGTGATACAAGCATGCTGGCTGGGGTTTGGGGTTGTTGTGTGATGGAAATGTTTGGGGTGGGGGGCATCAGTAGTGGGACCCTTTACTGGCTGGAGATGACCTGAACTTCAAGGTACAGTAGGAGTGAACAATATTTAAAGTGAAAAGAAATGTGCTGATACAAAAATTGAGAAGGGCCTGACCCCCACAAGAGGGCACCAGAGGATCAGACCAGGGCTGGCTGAATTTTATTAGTAAAATTATAAGTTAAATCAGGTACGATCTAATCAAATAATGAGTCTAGAGTTTAATGGCAGCTTTCAGTACTTGGCACTCTTCCATGCTCTGTGTTACCTGCATAATTTTATTGGCTCTCAAAAAGTACTGGAGTCTGATACTCAGCCCACCCTGGCACACAAGTGCTGCTACAACTGCTCTGACATTTCTAGCAAGCCCTCCAAATAGCTTATATCTACATGACAGAAATAGTGTAAAATAGATAAAGAGCTTAGCCTGCAAGTGCTGGCTAAGTATAAAGAAAAAGAGACGACTGTATTTGTCACAAAGCAAATGAGTAATAGACTGCCATCAGAGTTTCTACTGTAATGGCAAACACTGGATAACACTGCATAAAATGTGTTGTATTTTCCCATCAGTGGTGTGTGTGTGTGTGTGTGTGATGGAGGTGTCGGATAAGGGGTCCTGTAAATGTAATATGTGAGATCCTCCTGGTTAGTGCTGCAGAGGAACACTACTTAAAGGGCAGCCCTGTCTCCTAGAAATAATGTTTAGATACAACTAATTTGTAACAGTAAAAAGGAAACGTGATGCCGAGTGAATCACGTTTTCTATAAACATAATGAGGAAATGTTGCTAATTAACATATCTGGCAAGTCACAAAAATGTTGATACTGAATGTATCAGTAAAGTGTTCACTGACAACATATCTCAGTTGTTTTCCACCAAAATAGTCAATCTTGCAATACAGTGTCCACTCGTAGTGATAACTGCATTATTTTTTTATTACCTTTGTTATTAACATTTAACTGAAATCACGGTATTTCCCCAACCTTAATAACCAAATTGCTTTTGTTGCCTAAACCTTCAGACAAGAGTCTTTGTCCCTACTTGTTTTTATTAAAATATTGCCACTATCATAATATTTCCCTAGTCTTAACCAAAGTGCCTTTGTTGCTTAAACTTAACACAGGAGTCTGGACATGAACCCAAGGTTCTGGTGTCAAGGTTCTGCACTGCATTGTGTTTGCCTGCCGTCCTCCCCAACCACCTTTTGGCAAAGCCTGTGCGATACATGAATGTAGTGTTTCGTTACCTAAAAGAAACATTGTCTCTGAACCTAATCCAGGCAGTGGTTACGTTGCCACAACAACGTAATTTCTAGGATACAGGGTTATAAAGGGGCACTCTGGAAATGTAATTGACATAAAGTTGGGAGACTTGTGAGAGACAGATAAAATTTAAAAAAAAAAAAAGAAAAGTCTAAATGGGAGCAGCAGCAGATGTTGAGATATTTTGCCTTTGAGTTCCCAGTATGGGATAAAAAGCTGCGTCCTACATTTCCCATAATGCAACCAACATTGTCATTTTTCTTACATGTTTTTTTTTTTTTTTCTAAAACTCTCTGTCCCCAGTTTTTGGTTTAAGTCCAAGCCAAGCTAACCCCCAGTTGTCATCATCATCACCGGGGTAACCCCAGATGACACCATCAGTTGTTGCTCTTTCAGATTTTACAAAGTTGAGTCCTTGAGTCAGTTCTCTGTGGCTCCTCTAGAGCCCTAACTAACCTCTTTACACCTCACATTAAAATGTTTTTGGGTGATTGCAGTTGGATAGTGCTTGACCACATGAAAGTACAGGTGTAAATACTCCTAAAACACACTGAGGACAGATGCAATCCAATCAGTCAAACCACCTTCGAAGGTAGTTCGACTGAACACAAGTGTAAATGCAACTGCATTTTCAATCCACATACAACAACTACGTGAGTGGAAATATATAATCGCACGCAACTGTTCCAAACCAGCGAGGCAACAGCAGCTTCCTCTCACCTAATGCTTGACCTGTCAGGGACTCACCATGCTCAATCTTACACACAAGGCGTGGTCTATTGGCGTGTCTTCCTCATTCTGAGGTAGTCTTCCAGTCAATCACTGTCTTCATAATCAGGTAGGCCTGTTTCATCCTCATCAACCTCGATCTGGCTCTGACATATAACAGGGAAAACTATGGACATGCAAAGATTTCTTTTAAGTATTTGTTATATTTTATGCCAATATTGTCTCTGAAAATGCAAACAATATCAAAATGTGCATCCAATGTAATTGTAATAAAATATATATAATTCTTATAATAGCTCTCAAGAGCAGGGGCAGGGGAAGGGCCCAATTTGACTGCGTTTGGTTGTTTGGTCTCAGTGTGGACACTGGAGACACATGTTAATACCAGGTGTAAATGCATTTGGGTTAAATCATGTCTACATACACCTTTGATACAGGATACATTTTAATGCAAGGTGAAAAGGGGGTCTAACTCTCTTTGTGTAATTATTTCCATAGGCTGAGTAGTACCTCCCTTACTGAGTAAACAGACCTCTGTTGAATTTAACTAGTGGGGTGCCCCTTTAAATGCAACAGAAAAACTTTATAAAATAAAAGCAATTTTACCACTTTGACCTTCCCCAAATTACACCTAGTCATTTGCATCCCCTTCACGGACACCCAGTGTGACAGGCATGCTGTAATGTAAGCATCTGTCCTCTTGATGGCAGTGGAGTCTAAATCTGTGCAGGACAATGCTGAAGCATGTGTATCCATACAGAGATGAGGTGGACAACACTCAAATGAACACTGTCATCACTTATTGACTTGTGATGACTCAGGCGCGTGATGTGTGCAGTGATGAGTGTGAGGAATTCCTGGTGTGTTTTAGCTCAGGGTGTCATTGACTCTTTCCTGTGTGTGTCACTGTGTGTCTACCTGTTTGATGTTCCTCCTGCCTTGTCTTTAACCCTTTGCTCTCTCCCACCTCCTCCCTTGTAGTTGAGCTTACAGACCCCACCGTGGCTTCAGCTCTCACTCCTACTCCTCCTCCTCTCGCTCCTCTTCCTCCTACTACCATCGCTCCTACAACCATTAGTACCTCAACTTCTACCACTACTACAACTACAACTACTACTACTCCTTCTACCACCACCACCACAACTGAGGCGACCACTACCACCAAACCTCCCGAGCTGGTCACCACCAAGCGTATTGATCAGAATGTGTTGGGTACATGCTGTTGTCCCATTGTGGTTTTTACTGTCTTTCTAGTGTTTTAGTTTGCCATGAATGGCACTTCATGGATATCAAAAGACGATTGCCTTCTCCCACCTGACGAAACAGGAAACTACATCAGGGCTGCATTCCGATAAGCTGTGTTGTACCTGCTGTACAAAAAGTGGGGAATTACTTCAGAATATTGGGATGTAGCCATCAGCTATCCTCCTGGTCAGGAAGTGAGAATCCAAACTTTTTTTTTCTTTCTTTTTTTTTAAATTACATGGATGTTGATAACTGTACAGCTCATGGAGAGAGTACCCTTCAACACTTTAAAGTGATGAAGGTTGCCTATTTGGATTGATGAGGATTGTGATACTGGCAGAGCTCACCATTTTAGTCCACTCTAAACCAAGAGTAAGCATTGCAACCAAGTGTTTCATGAACTGAAAAATCCTCTGGCAGTTTCTTGTGGGTGACTTTTCTGTCCATGAACATACTAAACTTACCTCTGGTTTTGAGCAGACTTTGATCTGGATCGATCCTGATCAAAACGATAATTCTTGTAGGTCAATTCCCTTAGTGCTAGCACCATACATAGGTCTAAATGGAGCCCTGTGTACGGTTGTTGTAACTGTGCAATCTCTGCCCCTTGCCCCTTGCCCCTTAACCCTTTACCCCTGACCCCCCCTCTTGTGTAGTGTCCCCTGGGCGGGAGATCTGGAATCTGACGGTGGAGCATAACAGTAACTACGCTAACGTCAGCTGGAGACACAACTTCCCGGCCGGCAGCAGCGAGTTTGTGCTAGAGCTCACACTGGACAGTAAGAAACCAGACCAAGCCCACCTATCAAAATTAGATCTAAACTTGATTATTAAAGACTAAAACAGAATAGTGAGATAATATTAAGTAAAAAGAGCAGGTGTAGACAAAGTTATTTTTTGGTTATGGTTATAAATCCACAGAGTCATCACCAACTCTGCAGTTCACATCAGCTAAGCACCTTTTAACTGACTGTTTTGGTATTCAAGGGCCTCATTACAGAAACCTCTGTAAAGCTTGAAATGCTATCCTTTGTCAGTTTAGGATGACATTAAGGATTTTGGTATTACCGAAACATTTTTTGTAACTGCATTTTATACCAGCATAAGAATTCAGCCATTACAGAACCGTCCTAACCGAGGGATTTCCCAAGTTAGGAATCCTAAGGCCCAACCGAACACACCCCTTACCCCTACCACTTTGCCCTTACCTCTCCATTTTGCACATTCATGTCTCGGGGTAGGTTGTCCCAGTTCTTGTTGGGATGGAGGGGTGGGGCAAAGTGTTAGGGCTATATGGCACTTCCAAATGAAGAGTTTTCAGGGGCACATGTCAAACCAAGTGTTATGAGAAATCATTGATAAGATGGCTACGCGAATACAACAACCATTGTTTATCTCAGTTTGATGTCATTCTAATGTATTATGGTCCGTTTTTGTATATACCAGCATCAGAAAAAAAATTGCATGTATGCTGATGTCTCCGGTAGCTAACTAGCTAGCTAATGTGACATTGTTATTGCTAATTTGTGCATGACAGCCCCGCATTTTGGCATATGTCCATGTTGCATTCCCCTTGTTTGATGGCATATGATGCCTGAAATTTAACTTAAGTCCAGCAGCAAAATTGTTGTTCTTGTTAGTGTTTCTCTAATATCAGAGCACACCGGTAGGGTAGGAGCACAGTTTGCTACTGTTAGCCTACAGAGCACAGATATTTGCCTGGTAATGAAGGTCATTTTTGATTGACTGATAGTGTAAACTTAAGTTGTGAACGAATTGCAAGCATCCTGACAACCACAAAAGGCTGCCTGTAGCCCACTCAAGAGAAATCAACACAGCAGAAGACAGCATACTTGCAATGCCCATCTGGCAACACCTTTGTTTACATAAATACCTGCCTACAGATGCTTATCAGGGTTATAAAAAGTTGTCCCTTTTGTAGTTTTCTACCACTACCTCTTGTAACTCTGTTCCGAGGGGCAAGGTGGCACTTGAAAATGGCATGCAAGGCTAAGTATATGAAATGGGATTGGATCTAGGTTAGGATGGGATTGACCCATCCTAAATTCATGATAACTGTCAAAAACTACAATTAACTACAAAAATGACAGCAGCACTTTTGTTAGGTCTGTATAGCAATGACAACAAAGATAGGGAACACCACAAATAACAAAATATAATAACTGACAGGCTACTCAAGCCCTATGACTAGACTTTAAAATTCCTCGATCATATAAGGATATATTTTGACTGTCAAGACTATTAATATTGAATTTGATCAAAGTGCTATGTCTGGCTCTGGAGTGACTTCTCATAGCTAGAAATGAGTACCCATAATTTTTGGTCCATGATAGCAGGCTGGCTAGCTGGTGACAAGTAAGAGCTGTTGTTATTATAGCTTCTCCATCTCAATTAGCCTACTGGTGCATTCTACTCAAAGATACAGGCAGTGTCGAATAGATTCTAAACATAGATACAGGCATGACAGGAAGAGTGCCGACTGAAGAACTGACTTAACAGTTACAGTTACAGGATTTCTTAAATTAAGATAGAAGATAAAAGGTAGGAGGTCTGAGATTGGATTGGACGCAGTCAAGAGTTTAGGAATTGCTTCTGTAATAGGAAGATAGGAGTTTTACCTTTGAAACTTAAGACAGGACAAGCAGTCAGCATATTTTTCTGTAATGAGGCCCCAGGCCCACGAGTTTACTGTCTGGTTTAGTCTTGCAGCCTCAACAGCATTGAGGCAAGTATTTGCTACACAAGTATCAACATTATAAGGCCACAATTTGCAATACGCGAGTGGGATTTTTATGTTGTCATGGACTTTTGCCCCCAAGTGGAAAAAACCCAACCTGATTAATGCAACTTTAAAAGAGCTGATATTGTATATTTTTTTTTTACATTTAGCGACTTTGAAAAAGTACTGTGTTTGACAAAGACTAGATATGTTTTATCGTTTTCTTAGCTTGCCGAAGGTGTTCAGTGCTGAGGATTAGAGAAATGACTGGATGTGAAAGACATTGTAATCAACAAAAGCACTCAAGCCCACTCTCTTAAATCGCACTGTGTGAATACTCTTCAGCTCATCCTTATTCATAGAAATCCCTATTAGATGGAAATATAATTTTCTGGCCAAACTATGTTTTCCCTGCACGTCTAAATGAAATTTAGTGCTGTAAGCGGCAGAATTTTCATTACAGTGACAAGCCCCCATCATTAGAAAAATAAAGAATGATTCATTAGACTTCTCACTAAATAATTAATGCTTTATTATTTTAGCGCAGAATCAAGTTACACCTCAATGACAAGACAAGCAAGTAATGAGGCAAGAGCATAGAAGAAGGGAAAGGAAACATGAGGATATGAGTAAAAGTTTTTCAATAAAATGTTTGCTGTCACAGCTCAAAAGCAGAAAAAAAATACAGTATATCTCTCACCAGATATAACCTTTAACTGCAGCAGCAGCAGCAGCAGCTCTGTTGGCCTGTTGTCACCCTTTTTATTGAAGGAAGTGATATGTGCACCTAAAGGCTGATGTCTCAATTTGGACTCTAAGAAGGGGAAAAAAGCACAAGGTGCAGCACAACACAGTCTGTGTTTCTGTGTTTCCTCTCTTGCTCTCTTTCTATTTCTCTCTGGTCTTTATATGATGGAAAATGTTGACTGTCATCATGTCACTACTAACTGTCTGTACAGTGCAACATCACGATGGTTTCTTTTCAACACGCTGCCTGGCTTTGAGTGCCTCTTCTTGGACCTGCACTGTGAATGGGCTGTTTGGCTTGCTTTGTGTGAAATGCTGTTTGAATGTGTCACTTTTTGGGCCATCCATGCTTCCATAATCACTTGCTTTTGCTTTGGATTGTGTGGTAAGCACTTTTAAAGTCTGCCTTTTTAAAACACATCATCCCTCCTTCTCTGGAATCTCAGAGCTGGTTGAGATTGGATAGTCCAGCATGTATAGGCTCTCTCGTTTTGCTGTCTACCAATTCACCAGTCTGTGATCTTCAATCAAGAACAGAAAGAAGGGAGGATGTATTTTTCATGTACCAGGGCAGTGGCTTTAATTCTTAATGATGTCTGAATGTGAATAGAAAGAGAAAGGGAGAGAGGGAGGGAGGAGAGGGGGGAGATGAGACTGATCTAATGGGTTTTGTCCCTCCCATCCATCTCCTGTTCTCCAAGGTCAAATCTGAAAGCTTTGACTCTAAGCCAAGTGTGGCAGGGAGCCCCTGACACTCTCCCACCTCCCATCATCCTCCACTTCTCCTCCTGACTGTGATTCAGCAGTGTCTGCATTTCTGTCAGATTTAGGTGAAGGATGATGTTTTGGTGGCATAAGAGAAGAAAGCTGGGAGCACTTGTCATGAAAAAGGAAGTGAGAGATCTTGCAAAAGGAAAGAAAATTGGAATAAATTTCAGGTTGTGGGCATTAGTGCTGTGATTTGTACATGTTACACACCTGCATTTATATTCCAACCTGTTTTCACAAAATTCTTGTGAAATGAGTCGATATTTTCAAATAACTTGCTTTACAAAGTAAAGGTGAGAACTGCTTGAATTTAATCCCAAGTGTAACCAAAGTTGTTTGACTTTCAAAAAACTATGCTATTAGGCAGTCTTTTCACATGATGAACAAATGCACAGCTGAAATACATTGTAACATGTGGTTTATGTTGGGAAACGGTCACTGTTAGGTTTTGGCAACAAAACTACTAGGTTAGGTTTAGAAAAAAATATCATATTTTGGGCTAGAATAAGTTTGTTTGTTACACAACAATAGCATAACATGATGTAAATCTGTCATGTGAATGACATCAGTACATGATGACTGTACATAAGTGACATAATAATAACAATTATAATGATAATAAACTTTATTTATATAGCACATTTTATACAATAAATGCAGCACGGAGTGCTTTAAAATAAGAGCATTATAAGCACTAGTGCCTCACATGAAAAAAACATAATGAACTTAAAACAGACTTAAAACAAAAAAAAAAACAGAAGATGAAATAAATCATAAAAAGTCATAAATCATTACATCATAAAATCATAGTATTGTAAAGCTATAAATCATAAAATCAAGTGAGATACAACATTTTAAAAGAATTTCAAAAGAATTGCAGCAGCATAAAGCGTAAAAAGAAAGATTTTTAGACCTGTATTAGGAAAGTCAGGGCCAGGTAAAAGCTAAGTTATGTACTTAATGTAGCTTGTGTCAGATATGTAACAAACATACATATCTTAACCCTCACCATGATCTTTTCTTTAACCCAACCAAGCAGTTTTGTTGCCTAAACCTAACTGTTACCATTTAACAACATCAATCTTATGTTTAAAACAAGTTAGCAACCTCCAGCTCCACCCTCTCATCCAAATATGGTCAACTCTGGCTTCAAAAAACCAAGATGGTGATGCCAAAAATGCCGTACTCGAGGAGTCAAAATAGGAGTCCACAAACCAAAGTGTTACATCACTGTGGCTACGTCTGTTGTTTACACAGTCCATGGTCTAAAAATATGACCATTAATGGTCATATGTGTTGTGTTCTGCCAGTGCAGGGGCACTAATTTAGGAAATGCTCCAGGGGGTTGTATTAGAGGGTAGAAACAATCAGTCAGTGTGGTCCTATGGGTTGAAGAACTTAAGCAGATTGTAGATTGTCACATCAAAGACAAGTGCTACATATCAATAGCTTGATCTGCCACAGCAATATAGTAACATGAGATAATCAAGTGAAATTCTAAGCTCTGAAATTATATGTAATTTCTAGGAGCAGCAATAAAAAGATATTTGAATCATTTTTGCATTCAGCTAAAACATAAAGATTGCTACGATGTATTTAAGAAGTATGTAGAAAGTACTGGCATGTCTTCTCTTTTGTATGCATTAGGCGTTTTGTTTGGCTGGTTTTAAGGTCTTATGGTTTTATTGGTTATTATTAATAGCATGGCTTTGGAATGAGTTCTGTTGGATGATGTACGTCAACCTTGTGAATTAGTTGATAGCATGGTGCATGATGTCACCACCTTGTGCTGCCCTCTCCTCTCACTGCAACCTCAGAGTCATGCTCATAGCTTGGCCATGACCGACATGTCTTTCCACAGGAAAGATTCAGGTTGTTGTTGCAGTTTATTTGTTTGTTTGTTTTATTTCGACATCATGGAGATAAGTGTGGGCCTGTGAATAATTGAGACAAACAATGCTTTGCCACCATTGACTCCAGTGTTGCCCTAGAACAAAGAAAGTTCTGTGATAGTCATTTTCAGTTCTACCAGGTAGAAACATGATGCACAGTGGCCTTTCACGGGGCAGTATAGTTTTTATAGTTGTTTTCTCCTCCACTCCCCAATTTTCAGATGAGTTTCTTTCAAAAATTATGCCCTTTGAAAAGGAAAAGCTTCTTCTGTTATAGATACAAAAGAAGAAAATGGACCAAATTTTGTCAGCTGGACTGAGTTTCAAAGAGTTGCACCTCTGTGTATGTGTCTGTACTGTAAAGAGGTGAATGAATCTTGATGATGGGTTTGAGCATTGCATTGTTATCAGTCTCAATTCGCTTCAGTAACCCCACCCTCACTCAGAGAGAACAGTCTCCCTGCGAAGCATCGTGATGCCGTGACCTTTGCTAGTAAGCCATTATTGTGGAACAAAGGCCACACCCCCTGGAATGTGATTGGCCCCTTTCTTGTTTCTTCAAGGCGACAAGTCGGTGAGAAATGTAACGGTGAAACAACAGCCCCCCATTAAAGTGGCGGATCTGATCGCAGGCGCCACGTACCATCTGAGGGTTTACTCACATGAGCTCAACAGCGTCAGCAGCAAACCTGTCACCTTTAAGACCAAAGCAGGTGAGACCCCACCTGGCCAAGTGGAACCAGGGTTCCAGCCAGGTGGGCTACTCTGGGTGCGAGTCTGTCAGTAGTGGTATCTACAGTAACTCAGTCAAAGCTGGGTGAGTTGTCTGGTTTGTTTTTTGATTCCATGCATGTTCTCCCAAAGGTAAACTCAGTTCAGTCAGAATAAGATATTTCACCCCTCTAGATTTGGGTGTCATCAAACCTCAATGGGATTGTCTTTATCAATTGTTTTTCATTTTTGTGTGGATGTTAAAGTTGCATTTCTGTGAGATGGAAATTTGTGAATCACCGAACTTCCTGTGACTTCTCTTCCAACAAGTGATGGTTCAGAGATTGTTGACAACCGTACCTCTAGGTTCTCCTTTGATTGTTTTGCATGGACATAAAGTATATTAATAGGTATAAACTGCAGTGCAGCTTCAGATCTTCATGATCTTGAGACATACTCTGGTGATTTTGATGGACAACTGCTCTGCATTCCGCAACTGTATTCAAATATTTATTCTAATTCACTGCTCATATCTATAATATTCAGAGCAGGGTTCCCACACTGTCCTAAACATCAAATTCAAGGACTTTTTAAGAACATTCTAGGCTCAATTGCATCAATTTTGAGAACCTAAATTTGAGACATGGATTAAGGTAAATTACTGTTATAATACTAATATTTTTTATAGTGAGAAGTAGCAGGCTTTAGTTAATAGAGAGAAGCTTGAATGTGCAGCCTAGTCGCCAGAGGAAAATGTCGGCATTGTATGTGTCTGTAGACCAAAGATACGTTACTCTGGTACTTTTTTTTGTGGTTCATATCAACTTTTTTAGAGTGACGTAATATATGAGCTGACTTTGTCATCTGAAAGTACAGGGGATGGTGGATGGCAAGACATCCAGGCGAGACCAACAAAACAACCAAACCGAAAAAACTGCTCCAGTAGCTTTTTAGTCACCAAACATAGGTGTTTTTTAGATACCAGTCACTGTGTTTCCACTAGCAACAGTGCCATGAAAAGTGGTTGTTTTTTACAAACACGGTGCTGCTTTTCCAGCCGGGATCATGCTCCCAAAAGCAGGTATTTTAAGACAGAACATAATGTCTACTTAATCATAGCCAAGTAGATTTTGTGCTTAAACCTAACCACACATTCACCTCAATGTTGTTAAAACGTAAAGTAATGACATGTATCAATGTATCAGCTACACAAGAAGGAGAAATGGAATGTATAAATGGTTTGCAGAAATGTACAATGCCAAGATTATTCTCCTGATCAGGTTTGAATGTGTGAATACTTGATATGTTACAGTTATGGCAGACAATATCAAAATAACTTAAATTCCTATTCTTGCACAAAATGTAAGCACTTTCAATGACCCATGTCAATGTATCTCTATTTTCATAATCTTTCAATACATTTTCCCCTCAAATTCACAAACTTTCAAGGATTTCAAAGACCCATGGGAACTCTGATAGAGGTAGAATTTGTGGCAGCTGTCAAAGAATGTGTGTCCTTTGAGGCTGTTCTGAAATCTGTCTGACTGTATTGGAAGGAACAATCATTGTCAAACCACAAACCCTGATATCCCACTCTTTTCTGATTCAGATTCACAGTCTGTGTAATGGGAGAGAAGACAAACATCTTATTGCTACAGATGGGATCCTTTGTACAACATCATCCTGTGTGTGAGCTTAGGGGCAAATAATGAGATGTTGGTTCTGAGTTGTTGATGTGCTGAGCGCTCCGAGATGAGAACAGATTGTCTGATGTGTTAGCACTGACTTATTGTGGTCCAGAAAAGCACTCACTGTGTTTCCACTTTTCTCTCTCTCCTCTCCTGTGCAACCCTGTGTGTGTTTGTTCTGTGTGTGTCTCCAGCCTACATAGACCAGGTAGACATTGCCACTCAAGGCTGGTTCATTGGCTTGATGTGCGCCATTGCCCTCATTATACTGATCCTCCTCATCGTCTGCTTCATCAAGAGGAGTCGTGGGGGCAAATACCCAGGTAAGACCTGACACTAAGGCTTTGATACCCATTAGAGGAACAATATTAGCCCCATGGAGCTGTCCGACAAAGGTTGATAGGATGGATTGGACCTACATCAGTAGAGTAGCAAAGAAGGTGAGGCTACTTGTTCTTGGAATATTTTTCACTTTGGGATATCAAAAGCATCTAAATAGTAGTGTTCTAGCATAGACAGACTGCATTGCCACTGAGGTGAGTGCACAAACATCCCCTTGTATTCACTGAGTTGTTCTTAAATTATTGCAGAAACAATCAATTGATCAATTTACTGATTTCATTAGAAAAAATCCTCAGTGCTCAATCTCTAACTTCTGTCTGCCATTACCAACTGGATTTTGAATTCTCTATTTGAATGGTTATTACTGAACTCAGTAGTTTACTCTGAAGTGGTTATAAAACAGAGATGTCACACATTTGAACCATCAGCATATTAGTAGCAATCTATGAAGTAGGCAGTCTTGTATGGAACCCTTGAGAGCAACTAAGAAAAAAAATTGTGGTGATCCATTGTCTGGGTCTAATCTGTATTGTTTTACTGTAACAATAGTCACGGTAACAAGGATGCTTCAGTCCTTACGGGTGGGAACTTTTACCAATAATGAAAAAAAAAACCCTTAATGAGAGGGGCATTTTTGACACTATCTACGGAAATAGAATAATTTTGCACATCTAATGATAGCAATACACAGCAGAAAAAGCACTTTGAATACATTTTAATTTTTTTCAAAATTAATATTGCTATTATTCATATTATGTACAGTATAAGATATAATATATGTACCTTGTATGTACCTTTAGAGTGCATGGTGAAATGAAAACACACTTGGAAGAAAACATAAATGCTTATAGTCCCAGCATGGGATTGAGATGCACCCACGCCTCTCATGGCTGATATGAGTATTACAACAACAAATATAACAAAAATAAAACTGACAAAAAAACAAAACAAAACAAAAGTCACCTGGCACAGGATGTGAGTATGGTATCAGAAAGCGGTTGGACTTTTACTTCGCACAGACTTTAAATTTTACTTGGGTTGACAATATTTTAAATGTCTAACAGTGTTTGAATTTCCCGTTAACTGGATGTTAACACTATGATGTATCGCAGACAAACTTTGAGGATGCTGGTCTTTGGTTACTTAACAAACGTAACTTAAAACTTAAAAAAATATCAACGTCATCTGTCATCAGCATTCTACGTCAAAATGACGTAAGCACGAGACGCTGTCCTGACATTAAATTTGGTCACTCAGTGTCACAACCTCACTTCAAACAAATACTAACGTCTGACAAGGTTTGTCATCAGCTGGGAGGAAAGGAAAAAAAAAAGGTTAGACTTAGAGTTTGGATCACCAGAATGTTTTTTCTCACTTGCATTTGTTTAGTTACTGATAGAAGTTGTGAAAGTTCATGAACTATGTAGAAACTTTAATGAGCTAGGTGTGTTAGTTCTGATTAAATATTTCTGTTTTAGTACTTGCTCTTTTTTTTAACTGTGAAAAACAACAGAGCAATATTTCAAGTATCAGCACCTGTTTTAATCAGATGACACAGGACAATAAAAACCACAAGTCATTACAGAACTTAAAAAAAGCAACTGGCTGTTATGTACCAGCTAAAGATGCATTTACGTGACAAATGGTAGGGTTTAATTGGTATAGTATGGATAATGAAGTTTTTATGGGCATGAGTGCCGTCCGAGTAAAATATTATGATCCTCATTTGTGTAGCTAAACGGTTATGATACTGTTGTGATTAAACATGATCTGAAGCTCAATTCTAAGGCTGTTCTGTAAATAGTAAATAAGAAACTTCTGATCAACACATATCAATTTCAGGCTTAATAACGTCTGATTACTCACTTCTGATTTAAACTCTGCCCATTCCTAGTGTGGATACAGATACAGATCATTTAGTTGGTTGACCATATACAGATAATGGTGTAGCTGCTCATCCCTATAGGATGTTTGACAGATCAAAGTGTAACAGTGTGCATTTGTGGATTTATTTTATCTTATATAAAACTCCAATCAATCTAAATATTACTCCTTAAACAACACCGCAGTGCACTTAAAGAGACAAAACTAGATTATCCTTGTTCAGAAAAATATTTTAAAAATTTTTGGGCAGTATTAATGCTGATCTACAGTATGTGATAATTCAATGGTTTGGAAAAACAGAAGTTGGAGTCATTTTAATCTTTTGCAGTTTTTATAATGTCTAGGTGGTGGTTGCGTGACTGGTTTCGCAAAATATCTAGGTAGGTGCTGAAGTGTGACACTGTGAAAGTTAAGAACTAACACCCAGTAATGAGCTGCATCAAATAAGGATTATAACAAAAAAGGTGATAGACAGGAAAAGACTAATGAGAGAAGTTCACACATACACACATAAAGCGTGTTTTCAGTACTGACTGGAGCACTTACACACCTTACAAACCCAACCCAATGTTTTATAACTGCTACTAAAACAGGCTTGTAAGTCTCTTATGAAGCACACTGTGTTCCTAATGCATACTTCAGTATACATGGACTACTGGGGCAGCAGCTCAGAAAACAGTAAAAAAAAACAAGTCATGAATTAATTACCCAGTTGCCAGAAAAAATGTTGGCATTGTATGTTTCTGCAAACTCACGGATATTTTTTATTTGTGTGTGTGTTTTTATGTAGCAGATACAACAAACAAATTATTTTGGTCACCCGGTTTTGGGGGCACAATCCCCGCTGAGATGCAGCATGTCTCTGTAAAAAACAAATGCAGACCATAGACATGAGTCATTGATAATGCTTGAATAGTTTTTTTTTTCTTGATCTTGTCTGCCATTACAGCTCACATAAAGTGTTCACACATTCCACCCCAGTTGGCAGAAAAAAAATTTGACATCACATTTGTACATTATTAGCAGATACTGTACGTTAGAACTTTCCATTTCTTTATGGCCCCTTTTACACAGAGATTGACTTATAGGGCTGTTATGAAGTCCCTTCTTTATGCCACTTATACATTTTTACACAGCACCAACAGTGTGTGTGTGATTTCAGACAGACAGACATGCTGGCATCGCGGAATCAAAAGAGGTGTGACGGGTGTGACATGTAACACAACAGTAGCCATGTTTCCATCAGCCTGTTCAGATGCGCATCTAGAAGTATTGCATCGGAAAATTATGATGGAAACGCCAAAATTCGAATTAAAATCCCCTGATTCGCACAAACTAAAATACGCTCAATTTAGCCGGGTTTTGGTTAATTCGAAAAAATGTTGATTCGCAAAAGGGGGGATGGAAACAGTTGTGTTCGAATTAAGTCTGACGTAGTGCACCTCTCTCCATGGTGATATCCACACTCATGGTCGGGAAGGCGGTAATGCATTTACAAGCTAGTTGCCAACCTCCAGAAAACGTAGAAGAAGAATGCGAGACTTTTTTTGTTTCCGGTTCTGCGGAAAACTTGAGCAAGTTCGTAGTTTTCACATGCATAACACATCGTCAAACAACACCTGCGCCACCCATGATCCCGTCCTGCTTTCTGTCCCGTTTATACAAACACCGTGTCAGTGGTGTTACTACCTCCATTCACAGCTCAGAGGCAAGACAAATCTGTCCCACCATTTAGCAATCGTACCTTTCATACAGAATGGCTAGGCGGCATAACAGCATGAAATTCCCACCTTGAAGGGGCAGTGTAAAAGGTGCTTTCAACAACGCCATGGTTAACATGTTGGACACAAAAAACACTTGGCAATGGACAGGAAGAGATCATGTTTTGTTTTAAAATACCCACTTTTTGGGGGCACAATCATGGCTTGAAAAGCAGGGATGTCTTGGTGAAAAACAACTGCTACTTATGGCACTATACCCAATGGGAAAAACAGTCACTAAAACACCTCAATGTCTGTTGGCTAAAAAGTCCTTGGGAGATGCAGCGGTGACCTGCTCAAACACAACCGGTTTTGGTGTTTGTTGGTTTCTAACAGTAGTCTGCAGTGGTCTGTAGCTTGGCAGGCGTCTCTCCCAGGTGATACGTCATCCACCTTCGCCTCCACTTCCAGATGACAAAGTCGACTTATATATCATGTCACTTTAGAAATGTTGTTTTAATGCATGTAAAACATACAAGTGGAGCATATTTGTGGTTTGCAGAAATGTACAATGCCAACATTTTCATCTGGTGACTGAGCTGGAATTAATGGAAATATATGTTTACACTGTATTTTATTTATTTATTTATTTTTTTAAATTTAAATGGCAGCAATTCAATTAATGTCTTTCAGCAAGCATATCATTTTCTGTTTGTGCAAACATGGTGGGGTACATTCATTTCTTGTGTACAGTCCACATTTGTTTCATTCACAGTATCAGTTTAAATGATGTGTACAATATGAGAAAGTAGGTATGTAATCGGGACACAGTGTTTGTTAATGGTTTAATAACTGAAGGCTGAGGACTAAATATGTGGAACTTAATGAGTGGATGAAGACTAACAGAGGAAACTAACTCCAGGAACCCCTCAACATGTGGATGGTTTTGTTTATTAAATCTAACCATAGCATCAGTTCAGCTCTCAGCAAAATACTGAAAATGTTACCTTTGTTCTTCTCTCCTCAGTCCGTGACAAAAAAGATCTCCCCTTGGATCCAGTAGATCAGAAAGACCAGGATGGATCCTTTGACTACCAGTAAGTATATACCACGGTCTGAATGACATGTGCACCACCCACATCAGTGACTAGCTTTGTTAGAACACTGACCTTTGAAAGATAATTTGAGCATTTTTAGTGGTCGAGGGACTTTGTGGGAAGTGGATTAGGCTGTATAATGTGAAGTTGTATTGTCACGTCTCATGTTGTATATAATATGGAGACTGTGGTGTTAGGTGCTGTAACAGAGAATATGAGAAACAGCTGTAGTACAGGACATGATGAACTTGTTAAAGCGGTGTTTTTTATGGAGTTTACTGAAAAAGATGAGTTAAAAGTTACAAAGCTCAGCTGACTTTGATATTTAAAGAATCACTATGGCAGTGAGCAGGAAATAATCCCTTAAAATATTATTTTATTTTTTTATTTATTGTTTATTTGATGTGGACATCACAGTTACATTGGACAGACCAGATGCATTGTTTGAGTGTTTTAGCACACGTGCTAATTCGCAACACTTGTCCACAGGAGGCTTTTGAAATGATAAAAATGATAAATATTATTATATATAATAATATTATATATCTCTAAATCAACAAAATCACAACCACCTGCTATGTTCTGATACTGCAGGAAAACTTAGAGCTCCCGCTGACAAATAAAACCTAATTTTGGACATTCAAATTGTGTTCATTTCCAGCCTCTTTATTTATTGTAGCGGATATGAGATTTTGGAAAGATGGCAGAGGGACTTTGCTTAAAGACTTTGTCCGTTTAGAAAGCCTTCTATTATTGATGCTACATGCAGTGTTATCACCAGCAAATGATGCACAGAGGAGGGTTTTCAGATCAGATCAGATGAGACAATGCTTCAATTATGAAGGACTTTTAGGGACAGAGGTGCCAGACTTTATCAATTAGTCCAACAGGTGTGCTCACAAATGTTAATGAATCATGGTGAATGAGGCTCCTTCCAACACTAATGCAGATACATCTGAAAGGACAAACAAAAAGGGATCAGAGAGAAAGTCAAAGGGAGCAGAAGGCAGATAGTCTGTTAACACCAGCCAAATCTGTCTGTATTACCTATCTTTTAGCATCGAGTGATATGTAAAAATTTTCAGCTGGCCTCTGTCAGCCCAACAACCAGCAACTGACGGTTGAACATATTTGCGCAGGTTTGGGTGCGCGTCCCTCCATCCCCGACTGATATGAGTTAACTATTCATGAAAAATAAATGTATGTTTTTTTTAACTTGTGTTTTTTGTGGAAAAAAGGTCTGATAAGATGATTTATTATTATTATTTTCACCATGAGGTGGTTTCTGCGTTAAGATTTATTGTCCATTAGAATGGACAGAAAAAGTTACAGACAATGGTGCAGTGGTTAGCACTATCACTTTACAGCAAGAGGGTTCCAGGTTCGAATCCACTGACCGGTGTGTTTGCATGTTCTACCTGTGCCAACTTAGGTTTTCTCCAGGTTCTCTGACTTCCCCCTCAAAGTCCAAAGACATGCAGGTTAGATTACTGATAACTTTAAATTGCCTGTGGGTGTGAATGTGAACATGAATGGTTGTTTGTCTCTATAGCCCCGTTTTCACCATGCAGTCCGCTATGGTTCAATTAAGTTCAGTACACAATTTTTCCGTTTCCACTGTGAGAAGTTGTGGATGGTACCTATGAAACCATTCCTCACCGTCTCCATTTTTGGTCACCCATCTGTTGGGGTACCTAGTACACAGATCTGGTACTAAAAAAGTGGAGCTGTTAACACTGCAGTCTGTTCATTGGTCAATAGTGGACAGTCACTCTGCTCAGGACTGAGCTGTGGCTGCTTTTGAGGCTTATGTAACCACTGTTACATGAGAAGAATTCACTGTACCAATCGCCAGAAAATTTTAAGGTGGAACGTTTACTTGTTATGTTACTCAGTGCAGGAGTTGACATGAACCCATCATCCATCCATCCATTTTCATCCACTTAGCTGCGGTGGCAGCAGGCTGAGCAGACAGACATCCCTATCCCCAGCAACGCTTTTCAGCTCCTCCTGGGGGACCCCAAGGCATTCCCAGGGCAGATGAGATATGTAATCCCTCCAGCGTGTTCTGGGTCTGCCCTGAGGCCTCCTACCAGTGGGATGTGCCCGGAAGGCCTCCAGGCGCACGCCCAGGAGGCATCTTGTTTGGATGCCTGAACTACCTCAAGTTACCCCTTTCGACACGAAGGAGCAGCAGCTCTACTCCAAGCTCCCTCCGGATGTCCGAGCTCCTCACCCTATCTCTTCGGCTGAGCTCAGCCACCCCACGTAGGAAACTCATTTCTGCCGCAATCTCATTATTTCGGTCACTACCCAGAGCTCATGACCATAGGTGAAGGTTGGGACGTAGACGGACCAGTAAATCGAAAGCTTTGCCTCCCGGCTCAGCTCCCTCTTCCCCACGACGGACCGGTACAGAGCCTGCATCACTGCAGAAGCCACACCAAAATGCCGATCCATCTCACGCTCCATTCTACCCTCAATGTGAACAAGATCCCTTGCAGTAACTCTCCCCCAACTGGAGAGGGAAATCGACTGGTTTCCGGCAGAGAACCGTGGCCTCAGATTTGGAGGTGCTGACTCTCATCCTGACTGCTTCACACTCGGCTGCAAATTGCCCCAGCTCATGCTGTAGGTCACGGTGTGATGAAGCCAACAGAACCATATCATCTGCGAAAAGCAGAGATGCAATTCTGAGGTCCCCAAACCGGACCCCTCGAGATCCTGTCAATGAAAATCACAAACAGAATCAGTGACAATGGACAACCTTGGCAGAAGGCCAACACCCACCAAGAACGTGTTTGACTTTACACCAAGTATGCGGACACAGCTCTCACTTTGGTCATACAGGGACCAGATGGCTCGTAGCAGCGAGCCCGGTACCCCATACTGCCGCAGTACCCCCTTCAAGACCCCCCAAGGGACGTGGTCGTAAGCCTTCTCCAAGTCCACAAAGCACATGTAGACTAGATGGGCAAACTCCCACGACCCCTCCAGCAACCTTGCAAGGGTAAAGAGCTGGTCCACTGCTTCATGGCCAGGACGAAATCTGCATTGCTCCTCCTGAATCCAAGGTTCAACAATTGGTTGGAGCCTCCTTTCCAGCACCCTGGACTAAACTGAGCAGTGTGATATCACAATAGTTGGAGCACACCCTCCTGTCTCCTTTTTTGAAAATGGGGACCACCACCATGCCACTCTGCAGGCACCGTACCCGACCTCCACACGACACTAAAAAGGCGTGTCAGCCAAGACAGCCCAACAGTGTCTAGAGCCTTCAGCATCTCAGGGCAATCTCATCCACACCCGGCACCTTGCCACTGGGGAGCTTTTAATTACCTTAACAACCTCTGCCAGGGATATGGGCGAGTCTTCAGGCTTTGCCTCGTTCACAGTGGATGTGATGGCCAGGTTCAGGAGGTCCTCAAAGTGCTCCTTCCACTGCTCAATGATGTCCCCAGTTCAGGTCAGCAGTTGTCCTTTTCTGCTGAGCACAGCCTGAGACAAGCCCTGCTTTCCCTTCTTGAGGCATCTAACGGTCTGCCAGAACTTCCTTGTGGCTTACAGAAGGTCCTTCTCCATAGCCTCCCAGAACTCCTCCCACACCTGGGTTTTTGCTTCAGCAACTGCCAAAGCTGAGGCCCTTCTGGCCAACAGGTACCTGTCTGCTGCTTCAGGAGACCCCTGGGCCAGCCAGACCCAAAAGGCCTCCTTCTTCAGCCTGACAGCCTCCCTCATCGCTGGTTTCCACCAGCGGGCTCTTAGGTTGCCACCACGACAAGCACTGACAACCCTCTGACCACAGCTCCTAGCAGCCGCCTCCACACTGAAGGCTTTGAACATGGACCACTCAGACTCCATGTCCCCAACCTCCCCCGGGATGAATGAGAAATACTTCCGGAGGTGGGAGTTGAAGACCCCACGGACAGATGTTCCCAGTTCACCCTCACTACACATTTGGGTTTATCAGGTCTGTCCGGCAGCCTCCTCCACCATCTGATCCTACTTACCACCAGGTGGTGATCAGTTGACAGCGCTGCTTCTCTCTTCACCCAAGTGTCCAAGACACATGGCCGCAGATCTGATGATCCAACCACAAAGTCAATCATCGATCATTGACCTAGGGTGGTACCAGATACACTTATGAACCATTTGTGCAATTAATTCATGTTTATATATTTTCTCTAAGAGTTGTTTTTGTATTTTCACACACACAAATATTAAACAGCAAAAAAGTGACTACTTTTCTTTTTCATGACAAGATAGATTTTTCTGAGTGTGTATAAAGGCAACAACCAATTGTATTGTGCAGAAAAACAACAACATGAAGAGTCTGAACATTATTACTCCTTCTAACCTTGACAAAAGCAGTGCATACCAGATTCACTCCTTCCACACCTTTCACAATAAAAGCACTAGACATGTATACACTGCATAACTGTTTACCAGAGGGGACTGAAATTCACTCAGGGCATTTCACTGAAAGGAAACTCAGTGAAACAGCTTACAGTAGCTTAGGCTAAAGAACAACTTACCTCCTTACCTTAACTGCCAGGCGCTGCTGTGGGTCAATAGAGTCCTCGCAGTTGTCAAAAATTTGCATTGCTGCCAGCATGAATAGTTTAAATGTGTAAGATTAGCAGGCGAGTATTTTGTATTTTTGTGTCATTTATTCATTTATTTATTCACGACCTCAGTGTGTAAAGGCCTTCCAATGTGAAAATATACTGACTCTACATGCAGTTTTTCCTCACTGTCTCTCTCTGCCATTGCTGTGTCCTCCAAGCAGAGACTCCCTTACTTTCTTCAGAGGCAAACCATTAAAATGTGCAAAATAAAATGAAAGAAATTGCTCCAAAAAACCCAACAGGCAATGTCCTCAGCCAATATCCAATAGCCTATATGTTCTCAAAGAGAATAAAGAACATGCTTCCAATTCTTCCACTGTTTGATGCTCGAATAGTGTTTTCATATTTATCTGCATTAGTGTGGATGAAAGC